TGTGTGCCCCTCACTGGGGCCTCAACTGTCCTCATGGCTGCTCAGCAGGGAACGGAAATGCGTTCTGCATTGTATTCTCTTCTCAATCTCTGCAATTGAGAGAGGCACAGATACCAGTAGTTGCCTCTACTGCCAAGCATTAACACATCCCTAGCAATGGAATTCTTCCATCACAGATGCCCATGCTCCCATTTAACCGGTGTGTTTTTCTTCCCAATTTTCCCAATACTATTTTTTTAACCCCAAATTGACAGCAGGTGATCGACCTGTTGCAGCTATTTAAATTAAGGTGTGCTATTTACAAGGTTTCTTCTCCAGCTTCCTGCCACCTGCTCATTCCCAAAAGAGAAGGTGCATTATCCTCACAGATCCCAATGCTCCTCAAGAGCCATCTCATGTGAAAGAACACAAAGGAAAACCTGTGTTGCTGATAAGCAGGGGCAGAAGTGACCGTCTGTTGGAATAATATCAGATAAGTATTTTGAGATCCCAAACTTAACAGAAATAGCTTTTATTATTGTTGTTATATTAAGGAAGCTACCATGAAATGTATGGGTTTTCTTTTGTAAAAGGAAGGTTAGTTGTAATTGCTGACTGCTGTGAAAATATCTTTGCCTTGTTGTCTCTGAGAGGATTACTTGCAAAATTATCATCAACACTGGGGGGCTGCATAACAATGTTTCCTGAAGGTCTGTGAAGTTGTCTCATTGGCAATGCTCAGACTTAGTAAAATACACCATCTAGTGACAAAAGTATGCAGTTTTCTCAAAATCACTCAAAAACAATTCAGAGAAAGATGACATCATACTGCAATCCTGGAGCCCCTAATCTCACAAGCTTGCCATGTTACTTCATGCAATTGTCCAACACTTTAATTTGCCTTCTGTACTTCTCTAGAAATCACGATAATACACCAATTTGTTAAATACTTCCTACAATTTACACATCTTTACGTTACTACACAGGCAGCTTGCTTTTTCCTCCTGTGAGGTTAGCTAATATGGCATTCAAATATATGAGATCTGTCCAGTACACAACTCATACGAAGAAGTAAAAAGATATTTGTAAGACTTCCTATTTTCATACAACAGTGTGCTTCAGTAATGCTGTTACCTTCCGGGCAGTCCAAGAGCTTCGTAGATAATGAACTCATTAATAAAGAAGTAGTCATGAAATTCAATCGCATCAACATTGGCAGGTGTCAGGCAGCAGGATGAGCAGGGCCAGGCTGCACATGGGCTGTAGGATGTACCTCCTATAGGACGTGCCAGAGCACAGTGAAGAGCACTGAAAGCACACTAATAGACCCTGGAGTGCACTGAGTGTTCCTGGAAGGTCTCCAGCGTGCTTTAGAGCTCACTTGAGGGGCTGTATTTGTACTACAGTGGTCTCGAGTAGGCCTGAGAAGTCTTGGAAATCCTCTGTTGGACAGTAGGATATTTTTATGGCACTCTGTAGAGCATTTAAGAGTTATGAGAGCATTCTAGTGTGTCTCAGACCACAGTGGGAGGACCTGGGTGTCCTCTAGGACACATTAGGAAGCCTCTAGTGTGGCTTAGAGCACATTCAGTGTCCCTGGGAGCACTCTAGCATGCCCTAGAGTACCCTGGGGGGCTCTGTGGAGTTCTCTAAGTGCATACTAGGAAGCTTCTAGGACAAACTAGATCACAGAGAGTGTATTTATTGACCCAGGGAGGCCTCTGCAGTCTTGAAAGCAGTGAGGTTTCTTTGGAGTTTTATGCATCTGAGAGTACGGAGGGGGCTATAAAATGTGCTGGACAGTTGCAGGAATCTTCTGTAGTGTCTAAAATATGCTAGGGTGCCTTGCTGGCCTCTAGGGCACCCTACAGCACAGGGACAAGCTCTGGGATTATGCTTGCTCTCTGCCCATCTCTGCTTACTGGTGGTGAAGTGAGGTGGTGGGGAGCACTGAGGCACGGCAACACAAAGGAGGTCAGTTGTTGGGGCTGCAGTACTGGGTAGCCATGTTGGGTATCCAGTTGGGACGAGGGGTGAACGATTTGTGTGTTATGGCCTTTCTGAAGGGTCAGAAAGGGCTCTGTCCCTGTAGGCTTGTTGGGAGACAGAGCTCTGAGCCACCAAGGCTGCTGTGACACCAGTACAGGGTCAGCTCTATAGGGCTTGAAGCTGCAGCCCTCATATGCCCAGTTCATTTGAAAGCAGTTTAAACTGTCACCTCCTTGGAACAGGAACTCCGCTGCTTCCTGTTTCACAGAGTGCTGAGCTGGATGTCAGCTCTGGTTAAACAGAGAAGAGTAAGATTGCAATTAGCCTGGTGGATAAAAGACAGGAAAAAGTCTCAACTATGACAAATCAACCCTTGTGGAACCACATGTGGAGAGCAAATGCTGGAGAAAGAAAAAAAGAAAACACAACAAGTGGAAAAAATTCACTTATTACCTAAGTAAACAGCAGGATAATTTGTTGGAGTAACAGCATGAGCTGTACCATATATCTGCAACAAGAATTCATTGCTGAGAGAAAAGCAGATGACTTTATAAGACACTGTGTGGTTGTTTTGGGAAATGTTAGTTATTTACTGTTGGTATAATAACAGAATTATCCTAGTAGTGCTGCAGCAAGCTAAAAGGGACATGTATAGCATAAAGCAAGTACAAAATATGCTGTGTCTGTGTCCCATATTTCAGGTAGATTAAAAACAGTCATGGATTCTTTCTTTATTATTATTATTTTTTGAACAGTACATATCCTGTGGGAGAACAAACATCTTAAAATTCATTTGGATCAACACACAGATGCCAGTAGGCAGTTAGCCAGGCTCTGCTGTGCATACTTAGGTTTGAAAAATACTTCTTTTCCTGCCTTGGAGACAAAAACGCCTTTTGCTCTCAGTGTTTTGATTGTTCATTTTTTAAAGCAAATGACAGCAGGTTGCTTAAAAGATTGTTAATAGGCTTTGTTCTCTGCTTTCAATTAAAGGCACATGTCAGCATACAGCACTGGACTCTTGAGGAACATCAGTGTTTCTGTAAAGTCTTATTTAAGTTGGGTAAATAAAGCTAAAAGTAAAGAACGTTTTATGACACACTGATACAACTAAAACTTAACTTTCCTGATTGCCTTATGCCTCACTCCATGCTTATCACAAGGAAGCTGATGTAATGCTGCCCACTGAACCAGTGTTCTTACACCTTCCTAAATATGCTTTGATAGATCTGCTTACACCTTCTGTTCTCTTCCCTGTTGTTTCTTGACTGGGATGTGCTTTATTTGTTTATGCAGTCCATGCGACCTCAAGAAATGACCGTACCAGAATTTAAACTGAATTTTCAGCTTCATGTTTTGAACCTGAATGTTGCTTTGTTTAGATTGCAGCTACCACTGCAGGGAACATGCGAGGGCAGAAAGAGTTGAGTTGGACTGGAGATTTTGAATACAACTGATTCTAAGTTGTGAGTCCTGCAGTGGAGTTTCTTTCCTCTGAAAGCAGCAGAAAGCTGCAGTGACAGAAGCAGTGGCAGCCTCACACCATGCTGGGCACAGCCCTCGGCTTAGCGGTGGGTCGGAACACTTTGGGTAGGTTTGATGCCGGTTCCGGTTTTCCTGTTGGAATGGGTGTTGGAATTGGAGACAGGAGATCTTAAGTTTGGGATATGTTGATACAAGAGGATAGGGCAGGAGGAAGTGAATGCTTAGGAAAAAAACAGACTGTGGGTAATCTGTAGCACAGTGTGTAAAGGTAGTTATCTTTGCAGGTGAAATACCTGATTCTCAGTCCTGCTGGGTAGTCTCTGTGCTGAGAGATAGTCCTGAGTTGGCTGTGGCACCTCTCTGTGTCTGTTTCCCCATCTCTAGAGGAGGTGTAAGACACTTCTTTGGTAATGCACAGCAGTACCTCTGGATGCTCTATGATATCTAAGAATTTTACAGCAAAGACATGGAGAAGAATACTCTTCTGGAGGAGGGTGAATCCTGCTCTCTACCTCTCCCTCTTGGGCTGCTCCAGCCTCTGCAGTGAGCTGGGGATCCCTCCTGTTCCTCTTCTCTATCTGAAGACTGGGGTGAGATGGGGGGACACAACACACTTTTGTCTCCTCCCTGAAAACAGAGTGTTAATCTTGTGATATGGTTTCGGGGTGCTATAATAAAGAAAGAGGAGCAAGCAAATCCATTCTGGATCTCAATCAGTAAGACTAAGCAGCCAGCTTTGCTTTGTTTTTGTTTTTGTTTCAGTAAAAACATACTTCCCACAATAACTTCTGCAACTTACACGTGGCACAGAGGGGGATCAGTTCCAGTTGATATGAGCCTGGAAGAAGAGAGGGAGGAAATAACTTAATTGCTTTAGACTTCAGTTCAGCTGGAATCGAGAGGAAAGGATTGGTGTGCCTTTTATTTTTTGTTTGGAATACAACAAGAAGGTCGTGTTCTTGGTGAGGAGAGATCCTCTGCAGATTCTGTGAAGGTACAGTACATTGCAGGGCATTCCCAAAACAGGTGGCTTTGTATTTGAAGAAGTAACTCTGCTGCCGCTGACAAACAGCTGCATTGTTTTCTTGGAAGTATTGGTGCACTTGGAGCATGCTGTCTGCTCCTCTCTTTTTACCAAGGGGGAAGAAATAGGAAATGTGAGATTTTGGGGTTAACCGTGACTGGAGCAAGTTGAGGGGGAGTGCTTTGATGTTTAATGCTACAATATGGGGCTTAGAAAATACAGAAGAGATTGGTAAATAGGTGTTATGTTAAACGTTAGGGCTTTGCTTCTGAGACGTTTGTCACTTCACAACCTTCGTACCCCTGGTCTCTGAAGATCAGCTGATGTGTTTAAAATCAGGGGGAAGCAAAGGGGGGTAAGATGAAATACAGGAAATGCTGTGGATCTGTCTGCTCCTGGCTAATCCGAACCAGGCCCCCAGGGAACGGGAGGACATTCCCACCTGGAATTCAGATTTGGTGTTGAAGGCAGCTAAAATGAAAGATCTAGTAACAGGCAGTGCAGCTGCAATGCAATGCTAAAACACACACCGCCTCTGCTTCTGTCAAATCCAGCGTGCTTTCTTTTGGCATCTCTCACAGATCTCGCAAGCTGCACTGACAGAAAGCAGTGGGAGATCGTTTCTTGCCCAAGTCTTTATATTCAGACTATAGCTGCTTCCTCTTTCCTACTCACATTTTCCCATATGGTGACTTTGGAAAATTCCTCCCTGATTTCGCTGGGAAGTGCAGAAAACTCGTTGGTAGGGGGTTGCCTGTTATTCTCTCTGCTTCTGCTGCTCACATCTGAAACGGATCTGGCTTGGAAAGGGGAGACTTGCTCTGAGCTCAGCGCGTGTAACTGACATGGCATGAGCCGAGGGAGCCTGTGGGAGCACGGGAAATGCTCTTCTCCATTCATCTGATCTCTGACAGCAGAGGTGAGTTTCTCAGCACTTCGTTGCTCTAAAAGCTGGATGGTCAGACCCCATGCAGCAGCCTGCCAGTCAGCAGCTCTGAGGGGACGTTCAGTGTAAGTCAGGTTATTTGCTTAACCTGTTGATATTGAAGGAGAGGATGTTTTCTCAGCTGTGTGCGTGTTGTGTGAGAACGTGTGGGGAGAACCAACAGAAACAGAGGTGAGGTATTTTGAACGTGATTCTGCTGTTTACTGAGGTAATTATAAGCTCTGAGAAACTACAGAACTCCTGATGCTTCAGCTCACTTTTTGAGAGGTTCCTTGTGCAGCTTGCAGCCGCTGGGGCTGTGCAGCAGCAAAGTGCAGAAATCAGCGGTGGTTCTGTCTGGATGCACAAAGATGCAGCCACAGAAAACCCTGAAGTGGCTTTCAGTGAAACTTCAGTCTTTGGGTGGATGAGTCTGACAGCAAGGGAGTCTGACAGCAAGGGAAGAACACTCTTTCCAGTTGGTTTTGAGCTACTCATTGCATAAGGTTTCTTAATAAGGATTTGGATTATGCTCATGGGAATGAATTTAAATGGATCGAGTTTCTTCAGGCTTTCTTTGAACTGAAAGAAAAAGCCATGCCTGGTTTTACTGCCTGCACTCCAGATGCAAGCAGATGCTTATGTATCTGAAGTGTCTCCCGATGGCACCAGGGCAGCATTCCCCTCAAAGGCATCACAGCAGCAGCATGCATATTGAAGGCAGTGGGGTGAGATTGTCTCAGCAACTTTGCTGTACAACTGATGCAGTATTCCATGCTTGTATTTATTATTTTTTTTCCTTAGCTAGTTTTCATGCCAATTGTTTCAGCTATAGATGTGGAAATGTCAGCATGCAGCAAACACAGAGCCTTATACTAACCATGATGTAACTTGGTATGGAAAGTGTTGGCACTGTTACAGCAGGGCTGGGTTTGATCTGTATGCAGCATTTTTGTTTTCCTTTAGTTTTGTTTGTAGACACCTGTAAGAGGAAGTGATATAGGGGGGGAATATTTTGTTGGAGATCTGATATATCATACTTCCTGAGATTATTTTCTGGGGTTATTTTCTCTAAGATTTCTGAAATATTTTCTAAGGCTAGGTCACCAAATACTAAGGATTTTACTAATCCACTGTTGGCATACTCATATGGCCAATTTTGATCTCACTATTAGTATCTAGCTATATTGCCGTTTAAGGAAAACCATCTGATCCCTGGTATGTTTTATAAAGGAGATTAATTTCATTACATGCAGCTTTTACAGATATGGAAGCTGTGGAAAAAAGGAGCAGGGTAAGAGGGATCAAGCAAACAATGTTAAATGCTTAAAATTACCCAGCATGTTTGTAGCAAAGACCAGGACCAAACCGAAACAGCCCGTGTCTCAAGCCAGAGCTCTGTCCTGTAATGTCACCTTCTCCTATTTCCTCAAGTGTAAGTCAATGTTTAAAGACATTAACTTCAGATTTTCACGACTGTGACTCACAGCAGGATTTCCCCAGTGCTTCCCAAGGGCCCAGAGTCTGGGGAATTTCAGCAGGTGCAAGTGACAGACCATGGGGCTGCAAAGGGAGCAGTGCTGGTGCTGCCAGCCCGGCCTGTGGGGTGAATGGAGGACTTATTTCACACTGAGGTCAAGAATCCATTCTGCTTTTTTACCTTAAAAGTTCAGCCTAAACAGGAATTGCTCATCACTCTCAAATAATTTTGCAAAAAAACATGGAAAAAAGCCATGACTCGTTCTGAGTGCAAATCGTTAAGTGTGAAATGTGAGAAGGGCAAGGAATGAGGCAGAGGGCTGGGGCAGGGCCAGCTGGCTGCTGGGCAGATGCTCCGCCGCTGTTTGCAGTATTTTAACCTGCTGCCAGGAAGACGAATGCTGAGCAGCAGCCAGGCTGTGGAGGTTCAGGTGGGCACTGCCAGGCGCAGCAGGAAGCCCGTCGTGGAGCTTGGCGCCGTGAGGCAGCGCCGGCAGGATGAGGCACTGTTGTACCTCAGCAAGACTCGCTTCCCTGTGCATCACTGCGAGGAGCAGTGTGACAGCAGTTACAGAAATAACATTGCATAACCTCCTGTATAAATCTCCAGGATCATCTGGTGTTTCTCAATATGAAAGATGCAATAAACAGTGCGAGTGGTCAGCAGTGGGGTGGGGGTCCCATCTGGGGGCCTGTGGGGAGCTCAGGCCTCAGCAGCTGTGCTGCGGGGCCTCGAAAGCACCCCAGAGCACGCGGGGAGAGCGGGAACACCTCAGGGCACGTGGGGAGAGCAGGAACGTGGTTCCCTCAGCTCGGGGTGGGCGCTGGGCCGAAGGCTGGAGGAGGCCGGGCTGCCGGGCGGCTCCCGCCTCGGGCCGACCCCTCTCTCTGTTCCAGGGGCGATGCCAGCCGGAGGCCGGGAGCTGCTGGTGCTGGGGCTGCTGGCGCTGGGCTGTGCCGCCGCCAACGACTTCCCCGAGGGTGTTGTGGGGCGAAGGCGCCCACCAGGCCCGGCCCACGGCTGCCCCCGCGACTGCGGCTGCACCCAGGAGGGCGTCGTGGACTGCGGTGGCATCGACCTGAAGGAGTTCCCGCTGCTGCTGCCGGAGCTGACCAACCACCTCTCGCTGCAGGTAAGCGCCTGCATCGCCCGCCCTGGCTCTATCCTGCCTCCTTGGTGTGTGCTGGAAGCAGCGGGCCCCAAGCTGGTGCTGCACTCGGTTCCCCTCGCCCACCTGTGGATCTCCCACCATCTCAGGATCTCTTTTCCCCTACCCCACCATTCCTGTCCCAGAGCAGAGGGGAGATTTCACCTTAATTCTCTCCCCACACATCAAGGGAGGAAAGAAAGGTTGGATTTTTTTTTCTCCTTATTCTCTCCCCAGGTCCAAGCGAAGAATTTTTGTCCAAAGTAAGAATTGCTTTTCATGGTGAAGGTCTTTGATTTTGAGTTGTCTATGAAAAGCATGGACTAGACTCCTTTAGTTAATAAGAAACTTTCTGGCAGCCCTACATGGGAGCTCTATGGCCTCCAGTTGCACCAGGCAGGTTCAGGTTGGATATATTGTCCCCGTGGCACTGCGGGATGTGGTCAGCAGGCAGTATTGGCAGTAGGTGGACAGTTGGACCAGATGATCTTACAGGTCTTTTCCAGCCCTCATGATTCCACAGTTCTACATCTTAGTTAAAGTACTGTACGCAGAGTGTGCCCAGGGAGGCGCCTGAAGCTTGGCTGGAGCCACCAGCAGGCCCAGGGACGGTGCCCAGAGGGTGCTGCAGCAGTGGGTGGTGCTGGCTGTGATGTTCAGACAGCTGGTGCTTCACTCACTGTACTTTAGCCCTTAACCTTGTTTATTGCCCCTATTTGCCAAGGCTGGTCAATGGGTAGCATGCAGATTTTGTACAGTGCTTTCCATCCAAGTGCTGTGTAGTTAGAAAAACTGTAATGTCAGCTGGCACCCTCTTCAGCAGATCTGTTCCAGGCATGTGCTAGGCATGGCTCCTGCTCTAATGCCAAAAACAGGAAAGCTACTTTGGAACAGCAGCTGTCACTTTCTGTGTATTAGCTTGGCTTCCAGTACAGCAGGTCTCCTTTTTCAGCCTCCTAGATGCTAAAACACTAAATTCATAAATGGTCTAAATGTTAGTAAACTTGTCAATGAAAATCTGATGGTAGTCACTCCTGGCCAGTGAAAAAAGGAGTGCAGTTTGACTGTCTGCTCATGACAAGTTTGCAGTGGGACAAAAATCCTTCGTGTTAAAAACAACACTCAAATAACAGCAGCAATAAATGTGAAGTTCCACGGTGCCAACCTTGTAGCAAATGTTTTGCTGCGACTTCAAGGCTGTGGCAAATGGATTATAGGTCTTGCCAGGCATGATCGCACTGTGCTACCAGTGCATAAGTTGGATATTTATAGGGATGGACACAGGCTACAGAATTTGTTTCAGGCCTTCAAATGCTGCTGGGTTTTGATGTATTCGTTCTGAGATCCAAACTTGGCTCATTATGGAGAGAAAGCTGTTGACAGTGATTTTACATGGTTGGTTAATTTCCAAATTTTATTGAAGTTCACAGTCTGGGTTTTATTGGGAACTTTCTTGGACCACTTTGCTGATGATTAACACTCTCTGTTTTCTTAGAACAACCAGATAGAAGAAATCTTTCCAGAAGAGCTTGCTCGTCTTCACAGACTGGAAACTCTAAATTTGCAAAACAACAGGCTGACTTCAAAAGGTAAGGTGGAAGAGCTGTGAAGTGCACGGAACAACAGCAGCCCTGTGACAGCTGATAGGGAAAGCTGTAAGACTTCATGGGCCGACTTGACTGTAGTGGTTTTCTGTAAGCATCCCACAGATCGTGAAGGCATTTTATCATCTGAAACATAATTCTCTGTGTATAAAAATGCAGTCATACTGAACCAGTGGAGGAGACCTGGCAGCAGCACTGTGTTCTGTGGTGTGAGAGCTTATCCAGGAAACTCCCTCCAGTCCCTCAGGCACATCAGTGCAGTGCACTTGAGAACCAGAAATGTCTACATGCTGAATGATTTCCTTTTGACTGACCTTGTTTCTTAATCCACTAAACGTTCAGTCACTGCAGTTTAGTCCAGTTTGGTCCTTGCTGAATTAAATATAAAACAAATAATATAGATTACAAATAAGGCAAGTTCTGCCCTTTAAAAATCATTGTGACTTCTGTAGGCAGGTGTTGCTTGCTAAGTCTAGTGTTTATTGGAGGGACCTGACAACTGCCCAGTCAGGAAAGCAGAAGGAGTTGTAGTAAACAGTAAGAGAGCAGGGCACACAGTACAAAAGAGAGGATTGTTTGCTTTCATGTCATCCAGTTGCTCTGAATGCTCCTGCTATCTTTATTGCAAAGATAGGGAACACCTTTGATTGAGAATGCAGACATATCATGGAACCCAAAGCATATCATTCTTGCATGGTACAAAGAAGACTGCTTAATACATTCTGACTTTCATATTATTACCTTTTGGGTGTGCTGTTTCTTTCACAAACCTCAGTGCAACCCTAGGTTTCATGTATGCTTTGATATGGGAAATAGCTTCACCTTTCACTTTTGGTTATCTAAGTGCTAGGTGAAAGTGTCTTTTGTACGCTTGCCATTGTGACTGAAACAGTGCTTGTGGGATCAGCTGGGTGTGGAGCAATTCAGCTGAAAAATAGTAATTATCGGAGCATGATTAGCTTTGAACTGGATTGACTCTAGGCTGGTTACTGCATGGTTATATGGATTGTGGGGAAACAATGAAAGAGTTACAACATGCAGCCACTGATGTTATGATGGCAACATCATAGTCATAGATCATACTGATCTGGTCATTAAACAACCTCAGATTATGTCCCACCAAGAGAAGTTATCTGCAGATTCATCTAGAAAGTGACAAAATAAACTTATCAGATAGCATGGTTGCTGAAGCACTTATAATCAGCTGTACAGCAAGTCTATACCTGCTCTGTACATGAATCCTGCCAGAGGGGTTGGCCACCAGCCCTGCCTGCTTAGTGTTTCTAATGGTCTTACATTGCTCTTAATGCTCTGCTTTGGTTTGGTTTGTTTTTTATAAAAAAAGCAACAATAGGTCTGAAACAGGTTGCTTCAGTGCCAAAGAAGAATATTTAAAATCTTGTTTTAAAATATTCTCTGAAAAATACCCTCTTGTACTTCCAAGCAGGGAGGCAATGGGATGCCAGTGTTTCTGATCAGAATTTTTCTTGTTTTTAAGGGTTGCCAGAGGAAGCATTTGAGCACCTGGAGAACCTGAATTACCTATACTTGGCAAACAATAAGGTAAGAGGCTCAGAAGGCTTTCAGAATTCTTTTCTAATTGGGTTCTGAAAGCTCAACAAGCAAGTCTTCTATTCTTTTTTAAAATGTATATCCCGTGTAAGTAAAATTGTCCTCAAGTGATATTCTAGTGAAGGTTCATTTAAGGTCAAGGCAAGCAGTGAGTATTAAAAAACTTAGGAGGTTCACACAACAGTATATTTTCAAGGCCTACTTTGTGCAGCTAGTGAAAACTTGCCCTTGTGTGTGTAGGCAGGCATGGAGAGCCTCTGCAATTTAAATTGCCACTGTTCTCAGTAGGCTTAGGATCAGCTGCATACACAGTTGGTAGCTGCATGTATGCAAATAGGCTGTGGGGTAATGGTGCAAAGTGTTGCCTGTCTCATCAGATGAGGCTGGGTTGAAAAACCTGTGAACAAACACATCCTCCTACCTGTGTATGTGTGTGCCATCGAGATCAGCAAAATGCCATTTTCCTGGGCCCCCATTCTCACTGGGTTTGCTGTGGGGGGATACCCACACACAGGGAAACTGAGCAGGTCATTAACTTATTGTTTTACCTGCAGTGGTAGGAGCTGGACTTCTTTCAGTGAAGAAGTTCACAACTGGGGGATACAAGTTGGATGTAATGACAGAAAAACACTTCCCTCCCTGCCAAAGGAAATGCCTTCTCATATATGTTTATATCTGGAGGTTCCCATTGTGGCTTTCTTTTTCTCTGGTGATCCCCCACAAATATTTGCTACAGAAGGAACTAGAATACCACAAAAAAATAGTTGAAACATCAGACAGACCTTCTTTTGCCTAATACCCTTCCCTTCCTCTCTCTCTATATGCATTTCTATGCATGTCTGCAGATATATTTTATTATCCTTTTAACATCTGTGACCCTTTGATGTTTCATTTATATACACGTGGCCACACTGAGGTTTCAGCCAGGCCAAGGCATTTCCAGAATCACTCCATGATTTTCTGTATGGAGTTATTGAGAATAGAACCCATTATTTAGTACAGTAACATTGTGTTCTTTTCTCTCTTTCAAGCACCATTTCCATATAACAATCTTGGCAGTTAATAACTCCATAAAAAGGAATAAGCCAGACTGTGACTCATATTCCAGAACTTTGCACTCCAGTTTTCCCTGTGTGACAAAACAAAATGTTTGGGGTTTCTGGCTTTACTGCGGAGAGAAAAGGATCCCAATAGAAAATGCAAACATCAGCGAATGTCAGAACTAGTTATGGTGAGAAGTTGTGGACCCACAAAAATAACACATTTCTTTATAAATCACAAGCCAGGAGAAACCATATTGGCTTCAAACTGCATCACTCTGCCCTGGGAAGTGCTGCAGATCAAGTAACTGTGGTGTCTGGAGGAGAGCAGGGATTTGCTGGTAGTTTGCTCCTTGTTTTATGGGTTATCTGCACTTGTGATCCCATCAGATATTGTTTTTCATTAAACGAGCTTAGTTGGTTGGAGAAATGAAATATCATAATAGACCAAAGTGGCTTTTTAGTAATAATGCTTATTGGATGCAGTAGTTTCCCTCTGAATTTTTCATCACGCTCACAGTGTGTATTAATCACATTGTAGCTGCAGAGAGCCTCGTAACTGAAGGCTCTCCTACCCAACTACAGAGCATGTCCTGAGCTGCCACTGTTATTTACTGTAAGCTGGTGATTTTGGTGGCAGAAGATTTTGCATCTCCAAATATTCCCGTAGTGACAGGAGATTCACTTGGATCCAGTGCTTTTGTTGATACCAAAGCTTATGGTAAGCAAGAAAATTTGTTTCAAACAAGTAATAACTTCTGTATAATCCTTCTAAGCTCATTGCTTTACTATATGTTATTAGTGGAGAAACAGTATTTGCCATATGGAAAGGAAGATTCGACAGTAAAGCTGCAAGAAAATTGCATCTGCAGAAATGCAGATTGCTTCTCGTTAGGCAACATATCAGATGAAGCTACTCAGACACCTTGGTTTTGCTAAGTTACAGCACTCCAGCATTAATCCTTCAAGCAATCAGCCACTGGAGATCCATCAGTCTCATGGCTCAATGCCGAAATGCCAAAGACGAGTCCTGTGCAAGCGAAAACTCTCTTTGAATGAAACTTTTTCCTTTCTTGTGGTTCAGATGTTTCTCATTTCATATATCTGAGCCATTCCTTTTGTTTTGTGTAAGTTATGACCCAATAGACTGGGTTTCAGGAGAAAAGCTTTAATGTGCCACCATATATGAACATGATTAACTCTGTTTCCTGCTTTTTCACCGTTATGTCGTGATAGTGACTTAGTTCTTTCTGAGGCACTGTCAGACCTTCCTAATCAGATACGGGTCCACTTGCACGATATCCTATTTCCCAGGTCAGGAGGTGACAAACTACCAGTAAATTCAAAGGCTTTAGGAAACAAAAAAAGTCAGAATGTCTATAGAAGAGTCCTTCAGAGTGCTTCAGAGCGTACGTAAAGTATTTGATCAGTTGTCTCACTGGTGCTATAGTTGACACATGTAACCATGGTAGCACATGCATACTGCAGTTCAGTAGTCTGCTTATGCAGAAGGCATAAGCATACAAGAAGGCATATGAGACTGAAGGCTCGTATCCAGCACAGCATTGTGCTGAGAATTTCTTTCCCGGGGCTTAATCTTCTGGGTTCATGCTTTCCACAGAATTGCCCTCCAGCCCATAAAAATGCAACCTGTAATCTTGGTGTCTAGATGAATAATTACTACTAGCAGCCACACAGCAAAGCTTGCTGTTGTATTACCCAAATCTTCTGTAAAACTAAGGTTTTTAATCATTAGTTCTCACTCCACTGAGTTTTACTCAAATACAGTGTTCTGAGCATTTCTTTTTATATCACCAATGGAAATAGCAATAGACCAAAAGCAAACAGGACCTCTCCTACCTCTCTTCAACTGAGAAGTTTTGCAGAGACAAGAACTTTTCATATTTTGTTTCTGATACCTCACTTGTTTAGTGAGCAAGGTATCATTGTACAGCTTTGAGATTCCATTTGACATTTCATCATTTGACTCAAAAGCATCTCTGCACTTTGGGAACCTGCATCCTTTGTTGAAGAGCTAGTTTTAAATGGATGCAATACTGGTAGACATGTGAAATGACATTCCCAGCCTCTGAACCAACAGACTTCCTTATGGGAGTAAATAGTAGGCCAGTATGAGGTGGGTTGGATTTTTTGGCTCACCAGACCGAGGATTATGAACAATAATAAGCATGGCATTTACTCTTAGGATAACAATTTCTTGACTTCTTCCACCAAGAGACAGGATGCTTCCAAGCAAAACAAACGTTCACATATCTTGGAGCAAAAATCTGTCTCCTTCCTGGAGAGATTAGCAAGTGAGGACAATTTATTTTTTAAATTATTTTTCATGCAATATGCGTTCTGTTTCAGAGAAAAAAAATTTGCAAGTGTTTTGTGTACGGTCTAATGCTTGCTTAAAATGTTGCATTTAATTGAAATTCGCATCTGTATTTCTCTTTCAGCTAACAGTGGCTCCAAAATTCCTACCAAATACTTTGATCAGTGCAGATTTTGCAGCCAATTATCTCACTAAGATATATGGGCTCACATTTGGACAGAAACCAAACTTGAGGTAAGGGATTGGGAAGTGAAATAAGACTGGAGTTCTGACACTGCTCGGAGGCTCTTGATAAGTTTAAGAAATTTTCTGGCTAAGCCATTTTATTGCCTACTGATATTTTTTGGAAGGAAGCTGACTACTTGTTAATCTCAGCATGAAGGATCCGACAAACACATTCCAAGGGCTTCTAGTAGCTGCCAACTTTTGCATAGATAAAAATTAAATTATTTCCATTTTGTTTGTGCTTCAGGAACAGCTTTAGTTTCCCAGAATGTGGATTAATAGTTAGAAATCCTCATTTTTTAATAATCCATTCATTAAAAAATTAGAATCATGTTGGGAATGCAATACTCAACGCAGTTGAGTATAACTCAACTGTATTAAACCTAAGCATAGTAACCTTCCTTCACAAGTGGTTCATACCCTCTGGTCTGGTTTCAAAGGCCCCTCTGCTAGTTTCAGGTTTTGATTTTGTCAGCTGAAGCCACTGTAATGCTTTAGTCCATCTCAAATTCAGCTGCACGTAGACAGACCTCCTGTGAGATACAGTCTTTCCCAAAGGCATTTTGAGTAATCTATCTATAGGGACAGTACAGCATCTAAATCCTGCAGAGATGTCTCAAACTCTGTTGATAGCAATTTATGCATCCAAATTCAGAACTACTTAAAAATGGCTAACCCAGTTGAGCTCCTAGAGCCCAATCTTATGATGAACTGAAGAGCTTTCAGTCCCCTCTGGTTTCACTGAGAACAGAAGCTACTCAGTACTTACTAGACCTCTAGTCTTGTAAGCTTTTGGTAGATGAAAAGACTGAATTGGGCATTGGTTTCAGGCAATATCTCATCACGAAAAAGCTACATTAATACACGTTCTTCCTTCATCTGAGTTACATAAGTTACTATGTTCCAATCTTGTATTAAAATTCTTGCACTCTTCAGAAGTGATTTTCACATACTTTCCCACAACAGAACATTTTAATCTTCTGAGAATTGATTCATCCATTTCCGAGTTTCTGTCCCCAGCAGAGTTAATGATCTTAGGCTCATTATTTGGAAATAACATTTTCAGAAAGGCAAATATTTATGAGTTAGAAGCACAGCTGACCATGAAAGGTGAATTGTATTTTCATGTGGTCACACTATTGTGTTTCCATACTAAGCCTTTCCTTCCTTTCCAGAAAGATGCCAAGTTCTCTGCCACCAGTAGAGAGTCGAAGAATAAGCTGTCAAAGAAAACTTTTACACTGTACTCTTTTGCAATTTTAACCTGTGTCCATGACTTTAACTGCTGCTGCATCTTGGGTGCACACAGGAAATGAAGGGATAATGGAAGCATGTAAAATCTCATAATTTCTTCTGTTAAAAAGAAGTCAAATTAATTTGTGTAGGAGTTAAACCAATGAAAGCAGCAATTACTTTACAGAAGCCAGTTGCTTTATACAGAATTAAATCCTGTGTAAGGAAGATAAAATCATTTTTAAAACTGATTGGAGAAACTCTTTGGTGAATATTAAAGGTTAAAAGTAAGAAGGGAAAGCTAGAAACTATCTTTCTCTAGATCCCAAAAGGTCGTTAAAAAACGAAACTCTTACAGATTTGTTCTTTCTGACATTATTGTTTGCCCTTTTGAATTCTAGAAGTAGAAGGCAAACTGTTTCCTGAGGTATTTTGAGCCTTCATGGGAGCAGAAAGAATGGAGGGGTGTGAAACAGCCTTTCCTCAAGAGATCTGCAGGTTGATTTTGCAAGTTGAAGAAGCCCAGATTTGACTCCAAATAGAGGTTAAGATTGGAGTTAAGGAGATATCTTAAGAAGTTAAGATACCTATTAATCCGATAGGATTTCTGACCCTTTCGAGTGAGGCCACCACACTGACGTGTTTCATTTCTCTTAACCGAAAGCAAAGCCAAGTCCAAATGGCAAAACTGAAATGTAGACTTAAAAGGAATGCAGTCCCAGATTTACATTCATTTTCTTGTTAAGATGATGAGGCTATTTGTGAAATTCATATTCACATCCAGGATGGAATTTAAATAGACCTAAATTTCAAAGAATATTCAGACCAATCATTTGGTTGTGCTTGTATGTATATGCCTTGCCAAATTAAAGGCCATGTTTTGATAACAAATCTAATTAAGGGAAGAAGAATAGGCTGAAATAAGTTTTTAAACAGCTTTCTTTTGGTAAAATGAACAAACAGATCTAAATATCTGTTTGACTTTATCTTTTTTCTTCTTCTGACAGGTCTGTTTACCTTCATAACAACAAACTTTCAGATGCTGGCTTACCTGATAATATGTTCAATGGCTCTAACAATGTGGAGATACTCATCATGTCCAGCAATTTCCTGAAATATGTTCCGAAGAATCTCCCTCCAGCATTATACAAATTACATTTAAAGGTAATGACACCAGGGTTTTGTATTCCTTTAGGACTGTGACGAAAGTACTGTGTTGTGTGAGATTCAAACTACACAACCAAGTAATGTAATTTCACTTGAAAACATTCCCAGGCCCTCTGTAAGTCTCATCTGCTATGCTCTCCACAGTAGCTATTTCCCAAGTCATTACTATCTTGTTCATAAGGAATAGAGTGTTTTTGCAAAATATCACAATGCTCACAGGGGAAAAAAATCACTTTTCAGTGTTTTCAGGGGAATGAAAAGCATGTGCGTGTGATGGTACTGTTGATCTCTTTCTTGGCAATAATCATATGAATGCATATTAGTACAAGAAGCTAGGTCATCATGGCCATCCACTAATTGGACTGCTGGTCAAGGTTGCCACTGATGATGGTGTTTTTTCTGACAGCTGCTTACCCATTAGATATTGCCTGTGCTCACTAATTGCCATCCTGGAGACTGCTGTTCCCTAGCACCAGTGATATTTTGTTTGCTACTGAACTGGCAATTCAGTCCAACACAGAGAAAGTTTGGATCAGTGAATCTTCACTGCTACAGCTTCTCCAGCAGTCGTGTAATGCAGAAGTTGTGGTATTATCTAGTCTTCAGCATTTTTAATTCTGTCATCTGATTTTGATGAAAAATACTTCATAATTGTCTGTTCTTAACTTTGTTAACAATGGGAGAGCTGCAGTGGTGGGGAATCCTGGTTCCGTTTGTTCCCAGTGTTGACAGTTCCTTGGACGCCTGTAGTCTGCAGTCTGTTTATAGAATCATAGAAGAGTTTAGGTTGGAAGGAACCTTAAAGATCATCTAGTTCCAACCCCCTGCTGTAGGCAGGGACACTGCCCACTAGACCACGTCGTTCACAGCCTTGAATGCTTCCAGAGAGGGGGCATCTGCAACCTCACTGAGCAACCTGTTCCAGTGTCTCACCACTCTCAAGGTAAAGGATTTCTTCCTAACAGAATCACAGAATCACAGAATCACAGAATCACCCGGGTTGGAAGGGACCTCAAGGATCATGTAGTTCCAACCCCTCTGCCTAGCAGGGCCACCAAACATCCACATTCAGATCAGGTTGCCCAGGACCCCGTCCAACCTGGCCTTGAACACGTCCAAGGACGGGGCATCCACAACCTCCCTGGGCAGCCCGTTCCAGGGCCTAACCACTCTCCTTGTGAAGAATTTCCCCCTAACATCCAACCTAAATCTTTCCTCCTTCAACTTTGATCCATTTCCCCTAGTCCTGCTGTTGTCAGCCCTTCTGAAGAGTTTACTCCCCTCCTGGGTGTAGGTTCCCTTCAGGTATTGATAGGCTGCAATGAGGTCACCCCGCAGCCTTCTCTTCTCCAGGCTGAACAAGCCCAACTCCCTCAGCCTGTCCTCATAGGGGAGGTGCTCCAGCCCCCTGATCATCTTAGTCGCCCTCCTCTGGACCCTTTCCTTGCCTGAGCCTTTTCAAATGTCAAACACTGGAAGGATGGCTGGTTCCCAGCTTCCAAAGTGATTCTTCTTTATGGTAAAATCTGTCTTAGAAAATTCAGAAATTCTGAGCAAACTACAGGGCCACTTACTTGGATTACACTGTAGATGTGTACATAGGTGCAAGGGCTGTATGAATACAAAATGAAACCCTCCTGGAGTGCCAGACTGTAACTTCTTAGCCTAAAAATTCAACTGGAAATCAATTATTGTGCTTAGTTGTAATACTTTTTATCTAGTATTGGTATTTATTTCTTAGGTGGAATTAAAACTTCCAGTGAAACACCTGAATTCTAGCTCTTTTGAAATTTAATTGCCTGGTAATAGCTGAGCCTGTGTGTCCTATGTTGTTTCATGCTAAATAACGTGCAATGTGCTTCTGATGACTCTAGAACAACAAGCTAGAGAAGATTCCCAAAGGAGCCTTCAGTGAACTTACAGGCCTGCGGGAGCTGTACTTACAGAATAACTACCTGACTAATGAAGGAATGGACAACGAAACTTTCTGGTGAGATTCAGGCCTGTAGTTTGCACCTGTGTCTGTCTGCTCCCTCTGGTACAGTAGTACATCTACAAAAAAAAAGCACAAGTACTTAAAATACACTTAGTAAAAGCTGTGCTGTTATGCATTCCTCTGGTAGGTGGAGATGAAAAGACATAGACTCAGATACTGTCATTGAAAAGCACAGGTCTTGGTGAGTGCTTTGAATTCACACACCAGAGTTCCATTATACAGAAGACAGAACACTGAACATCAGACCACATCACTGCTTGATTGCTGCAGACCCAATCACAGGAGGAGCTAATTGCCCTCTGAGAAAAGGCAATCTAGAACGATGGTGCAGGCTGCTCTCCATTTTTCCAAACAAGACAGAAGTGAGGCTACTTGAGATGTCTCAGTTTCCAGGGCAGTTCACTAGGAGTTAAGGCCAGACCTTTACCTTTGCTATGTCACTTGTGTTTTGTTCTGTTTTAGTGACTTGCAAGCAGCCACAGATGCACAGTTGTGAATTAATAGCTGTACCCCAGAGCGCAGGGATTGCTGGAGTTACAGGGGATGTAATGGTGCTGCTCAATGGCCAGATGACTGCAAAAGCTTTTCTACAAACTGATACAACTGGAATAGCCTTTGCTGTCCTATTTACCCTTTCTTTCTGCTTGCACTGAGTTCTGCCCTAGTTCTACCTGAAAATCCAGACCACATAATCTGTCATGCCTATAACTTGCCATGAATCCTTTTCTGGTCTGGTAAACTTCTCTGGTCTCTAAAAATGGGAAGCTCTTTTCCATGAACCACTCCCAGAAACCTCCCAGAGTAATTTACCTTAGTTCTGCTGTGTCACCCTACAGGTAATGTTGTACATAACATTTCTGTTAAGATTCTGGTGAACACGGTGCAGTGGCTGTAGCTCAGGCAGCAATCACAGTCAGCAGATGGGGGTGGATGTTACTCTTTGCTGTACAATACCCAGGCTAAGGAAGCTGTACAGACTGCAGTAATGTACTTTTTTACCCAGAAAGTGTGTTTGTTCATTCAGACTGTACTTGGAGGGCTCTGAACAACAGTGTAGTAAACAGTAAGAACTGTCTGTAATGTATTAATTCTTGTATTTCCTGAGAGCTTTCTAGTCATCTGCAGTGAGCTATGTAGTGCCATACAGATTACAGTCTCCTCACAGAAGCGCCTCAGTCTTGGCATGTAACATCACTGATCCACATCCAGTTGGTGTAAGTGGCTGGTCTGAGGATTTATTTTAGCTTCAACTGAGTCTATGGAATCCAGATTCAGTAGCTTACACAAAGCAGATCTACCCCTGACTCACTTCCATAATACTGGAGGGTCAGGAGAAGTTCACTATCTTAGTCTAGGACACTGAATTAGCATTTCTAATTTTCATTACAGTAACATTTCATCGTCTCAAAAGCAGGCCTATTTTTCAGTTTAAATATGCAATTTCAGAGAGACAAAAATGATTCAGGCTGTTTCTGTGAAATGGACTGTAAAATCCTAGGGAAGGCTGAATATTGTTTCACCTTGCAGAATCTAAATGGAGAGTGTTTTCTTTCCTGCTTTCCCAAGGAAACTCTCTAGTCTTGAATATCTGGATTTGTCCAGCAATAACCTCTCACAAATCCCAAGCGGTTTGCCTCGAAACATCGTCCTCCTTCACCTGGAGAAGAATGCAATTAAGGTGATTGGTAGAGATGTCCTGACCCAAATTAAGAACCTTGAGTACCTCCTGCTCCATAATAACAAATTAAAAGCCCGAGGTATTCACCCGTCAGCCTTCCAGGGCTTGAAGAAACTGCACACTGTCCATCTGTACAACAACCTCCTGGAAAGGATTCCCAGTGGGCTGCCTCGACGAGTGAAAACACTCATGATCCTGCATAACCAGATTTCTGAGATTAACAGGAATGACTTTGCTACCACTTACTTCCTTGAAGAGCTGAACCTGAGCTACAATAAGCTCAAAAGTCCCCAGATCCATCGGGAGGCCTTCCGTAAACTGAGGCAACTGAAGTCCTTGGATCTTTCTGGAAACAACCTCAACACGGTGCCCTATGGCTTTCCAAAGAACTTGCAGGTTCTGAAGCTGAAGGAAAATGAGATAAGTGACATCCCCAAAGGGACTCTGTCTGGGATGACAAAACTGCGGGAATTATATTTGAGCAACAATAAACTGAAAGTAAACTCCATTTATTCAAGAGCGTGGAGGGAGCTCAGCAGTCTCCAGGTAGAAACATCACCTCTTATTGTGGTCATATTGCTAATGTCCTCCTCTGTCTGCCTAAGCCAGTTTATGTGGCACCAATACTAGCTTTGCTTGGAATGCATGTATTGGGCTTGCATTTTAAGTGCCATGTGCTCTGTTTCTAGCAACTGAAAGGTTGTGCTGTGGTGCCAGAGGTGAGTACCTCCCACTGCTGACTGGAGCGGTGGTCCACCGTGTACTGCTAATTCTGGGAAATGTTAAAACATTTTTGTTTCTCAATCCTAATGCTGTCCTTTATTTTCAGCTAAATATTAATGAATGTTGTCATTAAAACTGAAACTCTGTGTTTCAAATAGCTTATCTTCCAATAGATCTGAAATCAGCTCTGAAGAGAGACGGCAGGAAGAAGGAATGCATAAACAAAACCACTTTTAATTCTCAAAGCCCCCCACATCAGCTTATAGTCAGACAGGCCAAGCTACAGGATTTAGCAGCTCAGCTGGCTAAGGCACCTGGATAGCACTTAGGAGGTCTGGATTCAATCAGCAGTCTCGTCATTTGCTTAATTGTTCGAGAAAGTTAAACACAAACCATAAGGCAGTCAGGAACAATCTTGTTTCTGCTGTGCAAAATGACCTTTCAGATTTGTTACACTGGCTGAAGGATTTGTCTGCATTTCCTTTTAGGTAACAGCCTGTTTCCTGCAGTAAAAGGCATTACCTATGCCATCTGGTGACCATCTATGATGCCTACTGTTAGGTCACTGTACAAGCAAAATTTATACTTCTGAAAGCAGATAAGGGATAGAAGATGTGGAGTGTATGTTTTACTGGCCCCCAGTGTGTTTTCAGATAATGTAAACATTTATCTGTGTTAATATTTTCTTGGAATAAATAAGAGCTTATTTTTCAGTTAATGTAAACCAGCAGTGCAATAATAGCATCTGTAGCACTGTTGCTTTGCATCAGCTGTAGATTTGGTTGATGATTCCAGTGATATATCTTGCATTTGTTTGGTGCGTCAGTGACGTGTGTGCAAATATGTCAGAGAGAGAATGTAGTTGGGAAGGAAGATGCTGATAAGAATTATAATAATAATAATAATTAATACTGGCACCATTTACCTGCAGTAGCTTAATGAAATGCAACCATTGTCACCTGTCTTTTTTTTTTTTTCCCTCTACACAAAAATAGGTCATGAGATCTATTGCCAGTTTTAGTACTGGTTGGAATTAAAAAATTACAAGCTTGCCTTCTTGAAAGGCCTGATTCACTGCAGTTTCACCTCACTTTTATGCTGCTGTCGCTCTTTTGTAGTTGGTGTCAAGCCAGAGTAATGCACTGCTGAATCAAACTCTGGCCCTTCAGCTGCACCTTTTCCACAGCAAACCCCACTCATATTAAGCAGGACTCATATTAAGTATATTAATATTAATATAATATTAACTCACATTAAGATAATAGCATGTATGCAAGATTCTGTTAAACTGACAGTCTTTTTTTTGGTGTTGTGATTTCTTGAGCAGCCTTACTACCTGTTAAGTATTTCCATGATAGTATGTATTAATCTTTTTTCACCATGAAGGGCTTAACTCTGCAATAGGTTAATGAGTTGGTGCACTGGAGATTTGACAAATAACAATCAGGTCTAAGATCCTGATTGTGCAAGTACTTAGCATGCAGTCCTGTCCACACTGTTACCATGGAAATCACTGAAGACTGCTTGCAATTGCAAAGCTAGGCATTTGCATAATTGTTTGCCAGACTGGGATTATGTTGAGGAGAACAATGAAATCATGACAATCGTCTGTAGAACTGTAGCTGAATAATGTGACTAGCATGTCAGCTTGGGAAGTGCTACATATAGCATACAACACTTGTTTTAATCAATTTTTATGCTGAAAACTTTTATAAGGAAGTGTCATGACCTGTAGTCCTGATGTTTTCATATGTTGCTCTGTGTGTTTGTATGTGTGATTGTATCTAACATAACCACAGCTAGTGAAGCATTTGCAGTAGCAGCTTCCAAGGACTTCCCAACATATCTGAAACCCAGTCTGCCTGTAAACCACTGTAAGTAGTCCTGGGCTAAAGCCTGAGGACAGAGATAAAGAAGTGTTGGGACTGCTTAAGAAAACAGCATACATGGCATGTCCTGTGAAATCGTGATGTTAAATGGTAGCACTCAAGAAAAAAACAGAAATTGCAGCAGAAAGCAGAATTGCAGCAGACACCTTTTCCTTGATGCGAGTTACACGAACTCAGTTTATGTTACAGTAAACATGGCTTCAGTTTTCCACTATGAACTCAAACAGAACCTTTCTGCATGGATGACACCCTACAGTTGCCATTCTGCACACAGTGTTCTTTTCCTGACCTCACCAGAAGGGAAAGGTGTAGTGAGCAGACTCACTAAAGCAACATCTGAAAAATAAAGCTTGTTTCCAGATGATTTGCAAACAAAAATCCTGGATAGAGCTTTACATTAACATCACACTTCTGTACTGTTATCATCCTAATTTTTTATAAGTGTGTTATACACATATGAATGTTTGTATATTTACATGTATATATATATGTAAAAACAGTGGATAACATGTAGAAGGAGAGGTGTATGTACACAGCCAGCTTTTGAAAGCTCATTTATTGTTAAACTTCTGTTTTTGGAGTGTTGCTGATATTCACATTTGATTATTTATTTAACCCCTTGTTGTCTCTTACAGTCACTAGACATGGCTGGCAACCAGCTGACTTCGATCCCCTCAGGCCTGCCAGAATCTCTAGAGTATCTGTATCTTCAGAACAACAAGATCACAGTTGTTTCAGAGGATGTTTTTGAGTCCACACCCAAACTAAAGGGAATTTACCTCAGGTGAGTTCAGGTTTCCACTTCAACACACAAGATTTTTCTTTTTTATTCACTTTATTGTTGCTTACTTTCTAGAAATTATTTAAAATTTTAACTTTCTAAATAAGCATCTTTGTTTTATAGAAATTCAATGAAGCTATGCTCATCTGCTGAGGAAAGACATGGATACATAAAACGTGCTCTTCAGAGATTTTCCTTTCTGTCTTTATGAGAATGGATTAGGCATGTTAGAAATTCTGGGAAGTCAATGTTTAACACTATCTCATATTCCAGTATTCAGACTAAATACAGCTCAGTTGTAAGACTACAGCTCTGCCTCTGTCTGCTGCTCCTGGCTTTTCATAGTGTACAAAAACCTCCTGTCATGAGCCTTGCATGACTGATCTTGACGTGGTGTGCTTTTCTGCAATAGTTTTGTCAGAAACAGATGTCAATGCTGTCAGCTATCACAAATGTGACAATTGCAACTAAATTTAGAAAGATTTCCTGGGTTTTTTCCTATTCTGTCAACTGGATGAGAACCTGGTTTATTAAACCTAATATTTTACAAGTGGCAGATGCCAAACTTGTTTCACACCAAATGTAAACTCACAATAAAGTAACTTTAAGCAGAGTTACTGAGGACTTAAGCACAAGAAGGGAAGCCAGGATCTGGCCAAATAATATATTCAATTTTAATCAAACAGAACATTAATGAAAATAGTACTAAGAAGTAACTTATGAAAGCCTATGGAATATGTGATTAAGCTGATCCTGTGGTTGTGTTCAAAAAGCCTGGAATGCCCTTCAGCACAAGACTAAATATGGCCTTGTTTTGTCTGTATGCAGCAGCACTGTTCTGTAGTTTGGAATCGTACCTTTTTAGATGAAAGGTCCCATACCAAGCAAATAAAATTAAAAAGTCTGGTGTAAATTAGAGCAGTCTGTCTGTTCAGCTGCTCATATTTATGAGATTTTTGTGAATGCCTGGATGCAAACCAAAAACCACATTCCACATTCTATATTTCTATATAAAGAGAAAAAAAAAATAAAAAATTGCAGATCTGTTTTTTGCTAACATGGTTAGGAGGCAACTCCACCCAAGTTAAACTGTATTTCCTAATGGGAGGCTATTAATCCCTTTAATAGTGCGAAACAATGACATACGTCTGGAATATTAGACAAAATACAATTTGAAGCATGTTCAAAAGAATGAAGCAGGAAATGTGAGGGGTGCTGAAACTTTACATTTGCTTATTTACATTTTTGGAAAACAATGTAACAGATGAAAAGTTTCTGCATATGTTTCTAAGGAGATTCTTTGCACCAGCATTGCATGTATTGCGGGTGAAGAATTCAGCTGTCAAGGGATGGCATGGAATCTCACGGAAAAGCAAGTTGCACTTTGAAATGTGGGCTATGAGGCAGATAGATTCTGCCTGGGAAGGAGAAAGCAGTATGCCAAGAGAAAGAATCTGGGGGGGAGGAATTCCAATACTATGATTTTTTTCCTTGCAGAATACAGTTAAAGAGGTGGTCATATGGGCTGGGGCAGAAATCTTCTGAGAGCTTGAGTAGTGAACTAGAAATCAGTGTGAGATGCTTAATGTTTCCTATTATTTTCCTGCAAGGTCCTTTGCAATGATACATAGCACCATCAGAAAACTTTGTTCAGTCACTGTGTTTGCCTGCTTCATAACCTCTACCTACTTTCCTTCTCTTTTTCTCTCCAGAAAAGTCAGTACTCTGCAGCTCAGTGTGTCTGGAGGAAAAAGTAATGATGGAGCTGGAAGGGGGAACATTGGTTTTGAGCTTTGGGTTTTAGTGTCAGCCAGGACCTTTGCACACTGTTGGGACCCTTGAAAGATAATTATCTTCACATATTCATCATTCCACAGTTCCACACTGTTCAGTTCTACACATGAAGAATTCAATGCCAGCGTTTTAGCAGCTCTGCTTTCTTTACAAAGGCTTTCATTTCGAAGTGCTGTTGTGTGCCACTGTAAAATTAGAGTAACTGCTGAATGATTTCCTCCTAGTTTCCTCTCATTTCTCTCTTGGATATGGGAACGGGCTTATTTTAACAGGAGGGTCTTTTTTGTTTGCTTAAAGGTTTAATAAGATTGCAGTTGGAGCACTGAAGGTAAATATCTTCCAAAGTCTACAGCACTTACAAGTACTGGATATTGAAGGGAACCTTGAATTCAGCAACACTTCAAAGAACAAGGATGACTCAGAAGAGGAATTAGAAGATGAGGAAGATGAGGAAAACTGAGATAAAATGTGAACTCACCCGGGCATGCCATGTGGAAGGTAACAGCTGATGTTTAGTTAAATCACGGACTCAGTTCTCAGACTTGTGTAAATAACTCCAATTTACAAGTATGATTGAAACTTAACAGGAGGTGTCTGAGCCGTAGGTTCAACAACTTTCACCCCAGTATGACCAGGAATTGCAGAATACAAAAAGGCAGAAAATACGTTAATTTTAAAATGAAACAATCAGTAAATGTCTTTATTTTATTGGAGGCAGTGGACTCCTCATGGTGACTCCTGCTTATAACCACAAAGATACAGTAGATAAAGATTGTGGATCTTATTTACCAGCTCTGTTTTTTTTCTCCTTTTTTTTATTTTTATTTTTTAATAAAGGTATTTCATGATATTATTAAGTAGCTAGTTTAAAAGGAAAATAAAGAACAAACTGCAGAGTTCAATGATGCAGAAGACTATGTGAGCTGAAAGTGGATTAAAAAAATAAGACAAATTAAAGGAGGATAGGCCCATCAGTGTCTGTTAAACACCATGCTAAGAAGCAACATCTATTTTAGACAATCCTTAAATCACTGACCACTGGAGTGTGTAGGAAGATAGTTCTATACTTGGAATATTTCTTATGGAAAGAATATCCACTTCAGGTCACTTTGGGAGACAGTACGCACAGCTGAGTTGATGCCTGGTTCAGGATAGCCATGCTTAAGTTCTTAAAACAGCCTACAATTTGCTACTGGTAAGTCTTGGCAAGTGTACATCGATCACTTCACTCAGACTTATTGAAAAGCCTCTGGGTGGTTACAAATTGTTTGCTGTTGACTTTAATTCCAGACTGGTAATCCTGAATTTAAGATGTCAGTATTCCATAACCAATCTGGCCAGCCACTCTTGTTTTCAAAGGCAAAAGAAACAACGAGGATAAATTGGTATTTGAAGAGTATGTATTTTTCCATAAGAAAAGACATCTCTTAAGCTTTTCATACTTAAAAGAGATGATGAGGTTCAAGATACTACCGTTTACTGCTGAGGATTTAAGCTCCAAGACTTTGAAATGGAAATAAATGTTTAGCTTAGTCCCAGATCAGTATTTTGTCATGGAGTGTGACACAAGGAATTGCTAGAAATAGTGCTAATTCACCGAAAAAATGATGAGGATTGGAAAGGACAAAAGCTACTCAGAAAGTCGAACAGTAGACCTCTGGGCTAGGCTGTGTCAAACCTTTGTGAGAAAAAGAAAAAAAGAAATGTAATCCAATATAATCATTAGAATATATGCAGCTTTATCAGCACATCTGTGGTTTGGAGCATGCGCAACTTTTCAGCAGATACTAAATTTAGCCTGTTATGAATTCTGTATTCTGTTATGTAACTGATTTTGTTTTTCTCTTGTTTTGCAGCAAAGCATATGGAAAATTACATATATTTCTATGTGTATATATCTATATAGATATATATAGAACACTTAGCAGAATGTGCAATGAATTATACAGAAACTGTCATGGCACTGGGCCAGGCTTATGGAAGACAGTGTGTTGCAGTGCCTTATTCAGGGAGAGACCCTGAATGCCTTTCCAAAGCTTCCAAATCATCTTATACAAGACCCAGGATCATAAGGGATTGCTTTGGAACTCACAAAAGCTGGCTTTTGTTCCTTGTTTCTCTTCCTTCACTGTTTCCATCTGTAATAACAATATGGAACTATTTTGAACACATGCCTTCAAATGCTGTTTTTGTCACTGCATTTTAAGTGAACTATGTATTATGCTTCTTTTCTTTTCTTGCACTCCAAAGAAGCTGTTGTTGATCAGACGAGATGGATATTTGCAGTAGTTTCATGTGTGGAGCAGTATATGAAGCATTTGAGTCATCAAGCAGCAGCAATAAGTCTGGATTAAACTGTTCATCTGCTAGAACAATGTGTATATTTGGATGAGAAAAAAAAAAATAAGGCTGGATCCCATAATATTTTATCTCTACTGCCACTGCCTGCAGTATATGCCTTTTCAGAAAGTTTTTAAGATACAACAACTGGTCTTATGAATATATATAAAAAACCTATGCCTACTTTCCAAAGGTTTGGTATAGTTTGTGTGTTGCTGTTGTTTGACCGTGTGGCAGTGGTGTGAATGTCTCGGAGGATACACCCAGAAGACTGAATATCAGTATGCAGCGTGATATATGCAGTAGAGTTTTTTACATATTTTATATCAGAAGTGAGACTAATGAAGCAAAAGAGATAAGTGAACAGAAACTGTGAAGTGTCAACAGAAATTTCTTTGTTTATTTCAAGTCTCGTGACGGTACTTGTTCTCATAATCTCTTAATTTAAAACCTCACTGTTGAGTCATTTTCAGGTCCTGTCCAAATTATGGAAAATAAAGAAACCAAGGAGAAGAAGATTTACAGAGGTACTAGGATAGCAGGGTTCCTATTTGTTTATAATAGCCTTCATCTGAGGTGGCTAATATGTTTGAGGAAATGCTCTTTTCTTTTGAGGATTTCTGGTTGAACACATGTTGTTTTGCATGCTGTATTCCAGGATTTACTTGGAAACAGTTGGCCTGCTTTTTAACCAGCTGTTTTTTCTGATGGAGAAGGCTTAATTCCACACTCTCCCTTTGGGGTAGCACATGACAGTAATTTCAAGCTGATATTTTCTTAGACATTTATGATGGTTGTAGATCACAGAAGGAAAGATTAATTATTGAAACAAACAAACAAACAAACAAACAAATGTCCCATAACTTGGCCCTGAACAATTGCAAACAAAAAAACCCAACAAACCAGACAAACACATTTTTTAATATCATCCACACAGATGAGAAATAGAATAGCATTCTGACTTTTGGGATAGATTTCTATGTGAAATATTTACAGAATGTAGTTCAAATCAGTGAGTAATTGCTAGTGGCAAACCCCAGTGGCAAGTTTTGCTAGTCTTTGGTGAAATAGATCTATTTATTATACTCCTGAATAAGCTGACAGTTTGCACAATTATACAGTTTGATGTAGAAGTGTTTGATTATTTTTAAACTTCGATGCCTTGCTCTGTGATTCTGTGAGAATCTGCATATGGAATCTGTCCTTTGAATGGGACAATTTTTCCCAGCAACAACAAGAAAAACAACCCACTGCTCCTCAGCACGTTAAAAGCCAAACCAAGCTCATAGTTTGTTTAGTTCCTTTAAAGGGATAAAAGGCCCTGAGAGATTATAAGGAAAAGTCATGTCCACAAGACTTAGCACGCACGTTTTTCTCGGCTATGGATGGTAACTCTGTTCCCGAGTTCCAACCCAAACCTTTGGTGGAACAAGACCCACATACAAAATCTTACTTTTTTATGGCCTTCAACTGAAAATGGGGAGAGCTGGGAAGCTGACTTCTCTTTAGGCCAAAAAGTTGGGGCAAAAAGAGACAACATAACCATGTGACATTCTTCCTGTGAGATGCTCAGATTTGAGAAAGAGAAGAACAGCAAGTTTTTAATGCTGACATAGATGTTCTGGATAGTGAAATGCTGAAGTCTGAAACATTCAGTTGGCAGCTTTAATCCTAAGTGTGCATTTGGCTGTGCTCGGTATTCATGTGTGGTCTGTATGTAAACTGAGATCTGGGTTTATTTGCTATGTTTCTTTTAAGACCATGTTTCCTCATTACAGAGGGTATTGCAGAAAATGGCATTTTTCTGAGACTGGATACAGTTTTACCCAGCAGCAAGACTGCAAATGCAGCACATAAGCTTTAAAGAACTGAGTAGACGCCAAAAATAGCCTGTGTGTAACAAGCTTTTCCTTCAGATGGTGGGCACATAGCCCAGCTGTGCTTACAGTGTGGATGGGGCCCTTTGCAGCCGTTCTCCCGTCTGTCTGTGTTCAGCTCCTGGCCCCATGGCCGTGCCGTCCAAAGGAGGGCCCCAGCACCTGCTCCCACATCCGCACCCCTCTCTTTAGCACATTCCCCTCTGGCTAATCCTGGGGGCTCGTTTCTGTGGATTTCCTTGGAAAAAAAGGCCAAGGATAGAAGGATAGGTAATCTCCAGCGATTTTGTCTCCCTCCAAGAGGGGTTGTGGCCATTTGTCTTTTTTGGGTGCCAGGCTGGCACTGGGGATCCATGGCTCCATCCGTGGGAGCCCATTTCCCTCCACTCCCCGTGTTCAGAGAAGTGAAGGGATCTCCCTGCCCCAGGCGGGCAGAAAGGCCTCACAGAGGAGTGCCGCCATCCCGCGTGCTGTGAGGAGCAGAGGGCAGCCCAGCAGCGCTCTGTGGGGAGGGCGGTGGTGCCTGCTGAGTCCTTCCAGCCAAGATGGCGCCCAGCGAGGCCCAGTGTGAGGGACAGCAGGACCTGCAGGTGACCGGCCATCCCCAGCACCGTGCAGGCAGGAGAGGTGAGTTGTGGTGGGTCAGGATGGGAGTGGGGGGGCCCTAGGGAGCCACCAGCACCCAGCTCTGTGCTGTGACAGCACTGCTGCAGGGCTGCTTCCCCCAGCAGTCACCATCCACCCTCTGTGCAGCCCCCTCCCTGTCAGCCTGCTACGATCGGTTGATGTTCTGTGGAAAACATAAGTTGCTTTGGGGACTTGGAGGTTGTTCTTCTTAGCTCCCTCCCACAAATATCACTGCAGTGTCCATTAAGAGGGCAGTTGGGGAAGGATCCTCCAACCCCTGCAGGTGCTGAGGGGTTGGGCTGGCAGCCCGGCCCTTGAGGCGCCTCTGTTGCAACCCCCCACTGTTCATTTGCTTTGCAGGAAAGGAACTTCTGAAAAGAACTAGGATCCAGAGTAGTAGAACTTACGTATGGTCAGGAGTGAGGCTATGGATATGCATTAACAAAGTAGGTGAGGTTAGGAAGTGTCTTCCTTAGGACCCAATTGCCTTTTTCCTGCTCCTTGCTGGTCCATGCAGAGGGGAAAGCAGGAGCACACCACTGCCTTTCCTCTGCTTCTCAGCTCCTCCTTTGTGCCAGCATAGCAGCTGAACTGCCTTGAATTTCTGGTGCTTTGCCAGCAGTTATCCTTGGCTGCACCGGCTGAGCAGCCATGGAAGGATCTAGGCTGAAGTTGTGCTTCACTGTAGCAACTTCTTAGGTTGGCCCTACTGTATTTCTTTCAGGGCAGCAGAAGGAAATATTACCGGTAGCTGATCGAACTGCCTTCACGCTCCTTTGCTTCCTATGTCAGTCTCGTTAGATAATCCTAGAAACAAAGAGCCTATTTTATCTGCAACTTTGTAAAGCAGAGACACAGTCTACTCTTGTTTACATGCTTTCAGTGGCTTAAAGCAGCAGACTGTGATTGAAGCTTCATGATTGCTCTCTTTTGACAGTTGTTCCTGATAGTTCATGATCTGTTTGCCACCGTGTTGGCCCAGCCCACTGATATTTTTACAAATTTTACTTACAAAAATTTAGTAAGAGTAGATACATTTTTCAAACAATATTTTTGTTGGGAAGCAGTCTCTTCTGTGATACATTCCAATATTCTATTAATCGATTTCACTATGTACTGTTATTGGTGAGTGTTTTTCTGTGGGTTTGGGAATATTCTAAAAACTTTAAATTTATTTAGAGTTTTATGTAATGTGAATTAAGCTTTGTTTATGCAAGGCGTTAATTTATGGAGATCATTGTGATTGCTTTATTGTGTTGCTAATGTAAAAACAGTGAGTAAACTCCCCAAAGAGCTCCGTTTCCTTTAGTGAGGAAAATATTGGTGTGCCCTGTAGCTCTGATTCATACTGCTATTGTAAAGTCAGCCAGCTGTATGAGATGTATGTGGAGGCAGCAGATGATAAATGTGTTCTAATAATGCAGTATACAGTGTTTCCATAAAAATTCTTCAGTAGTATCCAAGGACATAAAACAGTCCATCAATAAATACCAACTTTAAATGGTTTTAAACCAGGCTAAAGCTGTTTTAGAGCACAGTTGTACAGGCTATCTCAAGTTTTCCCCATGGTAGTTCCAGAATCTGTTTTTAGTCTGTGATCATCATCTAATTGAGAATGTTGGTTCTGATAAAAATCCTTATTGATTTACAATATTCTCAGCTCCAGTTGCAGACAAGAAATGAGTGAGTCTCCTGCTTTTATTACTTAGGATATAATTGTGTGTTTGTTGACAGTAATTAGCTTTGAGAGATTTTACTTAGGGTGTATATTTTCTGCAGGATTAAAATGAACTTTGATTGCTTATGTATCACAGTTTCCTTCTTTGTGTACCTCTTAGTCAGGGCTGTTTAATTCAAATGCAGCTGCAAAATGAAACCCATAGGCCCTTTATTGGCACACCTAAGACAAAGCTGCTACAGCATGATGTGCCTTCATCATCCTCAGCTTCGAAGATTTGACATTGGAAGACCCACCTCAGTAGTTTGTACCCTTTCTGTGAAGCAAGCAGGAACAGCTGAAGTGAATTTTTCAATGCCACTCTAAATAGGAACAACTGAAATGAGTCTGCCAGGCTGTTCCCACCTGCTTTATGCAGAGGGAAGGAACAGTACATCTGTGATGCAGATAATCTCCTTTTGTGAAATTTCCTCTGGAGAACTGCAGATCACTTGCACAAAAAATATCGTAAGGAACCATACTTTAGTCCTACATGTGGCTCCAATGATAAAACAACTGAGAATGAGAAATTTCAGTGGAGGGTCTCTCCATCAGAAGAGAGCTCAGAGACTCCTATTCTGAACTTCCTGCTGGAGTTATGTTCAACCAGAGTGCTGGTTGCAGTACCCTCCTGCCTCCTAGTTCCACTCTCTTCACATATTTGGTTAGAAAGGACGTAATGGCAGAAGGGTATTTTCTTCAGTTAGGAGAGGGGGAAGATTAGATGATCTATTGTAAAGGAAAGAATACACATTAATTGAGTAAACTATCAGGAACACACACACTGCCCAGATCTCTACACTTCAAACTATTTATAGTATTAAAAAAGAGAAGAAGGTGGAAGATTAGGGTTAAAGATATGGTTTAACTGAGTTCTGTACAATTTCCATATGCCTTTAATAGCCTAGAGGTAAAGCCCAATAAAACCACTAGAAGCAATGAAATCATAATGAAAGATCTTGAGGTCAGTTTTGTTTTTCTTTTGGTTTTGCCATCCAGCCCATACAGTATTTGTAGCTGATGTAATTTGAGATATCTGTGAACATAAAACACTTCTTGTTTTGCTTCCCCCACTTTTTCCATCTTATTAAAATACCCATCTTTGGGAGGAAATAACCACCAACTGGAGGTATTACATCCTTGGTAGGGAAGTTCTTAGGCCACAATTAACTACAGTATGTTTCATGTGGTGGGGCACATTCTGGCTTTCAGCTAGTGTTGTTTGCATGCACATACAAGCATATGTTTCATTTCTAAATGAAACGCAGATACCTCTTTGTGATGAAAGATGACTGCATTTAAAGAAACAGATATAGAACTCTATATCTTAAAGAAAAAAAAACCTGCTATGATGGAACCTGAAAAGGAAAACCAAGACCTATCCTGAGCTCTTCTGTATTTCCCAGCGACATGGGAAATCCAGGGTTTTGTAATGACTTTTAACTGAAAGCACTTCAGCAACAACACTTGCTGGTTCTTGTGCTGAACTGAATGTTCAGTGCTGGTTTGGATGGCAGTGCACACTGTCCCACAAAAAGCATTCTCTCTTCACCTAGCAGTACTCACCATCTTGTCTCTTTGAAGCCTTCTTCATTCCTTCCCCCAAATACCACTCAGTAACAGACTGCTGTGTTTTTACTTTCACAGCCTATAAAATATCTGAAATATTCTGTGTCACAGATCTGCCAAAGGTCTCAGCTGTGCCAAATCCATTCCCATGAATCATCATGTGGGCTATGGAGATGTAACTGTTAGTATATAGATGATGGAATCTGAAGTTTTGTCACCTAGAAAAGTGACAGTTCCTGTAAATATTCTGGATAGTGATTCTGTGCTTCGAGGGAGACAGAAGTAACCAGATGAGACCCCTGACTGTTGACATGTTGGCAGCTGATTCATCCTTGCTGTGCAACACCCTGTTGAATTAAAAAGTGTGTTTTCTTTGTTTACAGATGGGAAGCAAGCCCTACATTCTTGTGGTCTTTTGACCATGGATCACATGAGAAGTCTGAGGTAGTGAATAATGACCACTAAGGCAGTGGTCAGCCTTCTTGTTCTATTACTCTTTCCCATTTGGGGTTATGTGGAACAAACTGTCTTATAAATTCCTGAAGGATCATTCAGCATGCTCCAGAGCACTTAGTAGGGGATGGAATTTGAGCATCTTTAGCCATCGTAGGCTAAAGTGAGAAATTTAATACATCCACTTCGTTTGCAACCCAGCCCTTAGAGAATGGATGCATTCAGGTAATCTCTTCTGTGGATTCCTTTAAGAGTGCTGCAAAATCAGGTATTTTTCAGCTGTTATTATTATTGCAAAAATTATCAGTTACTTCACTTTTTTTGTGGAAAGCACAAGAAAGGCTGAGGTCATTTTCAAGGCTGTCCATCTGGCTCGAAGACCTAACTTTCCGACTGCCCAGAAAATATGTCAGATCTGCTCTGCCGTTGTTAAAGAGGGACTAATATTGATGTTGATATTTGTTGTAGCTTTGAAAGAGAGAGCTCATCAAATAGGGATGCTACAGATCTACTGTGTTTTCTAAGCGCTTTAGAACTGCGTTGTAACATGGAGAGAGACTACACAATTTGTTTCAACTAGTTATTAAATTATTTTATTTGTATATTGGGATTTGTATATAGGGCCAATTCAGGTGCTATAAATAAGCTTAGCTGCAATTAAGACATCAGTTCCATGAACAACTTTATTTGGGTTGGCGACCAGAAGCTCCAGGAGCCAGTGGGATGCGTGAGTGCCCCAGCTGGGGCTTCTTCTCTCAGTTCTAATTTTTGCACGAGGATTCATTACAGAAATTTGGCACTTCAGAGCTTCCTGGATGTTGGCAAAATCCTCAGAAACCTGCTGTCAGATGTCTTTGATGATGTTTTATACCACAATAGTCTGCAGCAATGTCTTCTCAGTAGTATCTCCAGAATAATGCAGCTGCAGATGAACCAACATAAAACTAGTGCCTCTGATAAGTATGTGTTAATTTGGGTATTTCCCCAATTATTTCTTCCATAGCTGTATCTAATACATCATCCTTCTTCATTTTCTCCTCTCCTTCCAGCACGTTCCCCTAGGATGTCATGAGTCTACTTTTAACAGCTAAGTTCCCTTTCCTCTCAGCAAGGGGAAGTAACTTCAAAATGCTATTGAATGTTGCCTGTTAAGAAATATGTTCCTCCCACGTGTACTTGAATGTATTCCATGCAAACTGTTGCAATTAGTGATTGATTGATTTTTACATAAATGTTTTGAGTTTGTGAGGGTCATGTGCTTGCTTATATGCTCTGACAGTGGGAGGAAGATATGTAGAAACACAAAGCCTGCACTCCAACTCAGTGGTGAACAGCTCCATTATTTTTATCAGACTGAAGTGCAGTGATAGCTGGAAAATATGAACAGATCTGTACACGCAAATATGCTGTGGAACCTGCTGCTAGCCTAATTGCACCGTGTGTCAAGCTGCTTGACAACAAACACCATGAGACACAAAAAACAGCAAACATGGAGGAAAGCTCATAGTAAAAAATACTATACCCTCTGTCTTTGATTCTGTACAGCTATCAGTAGTGTCTTATGTTCTTAACACAGAATGACTGCAGTAGCAGTTAGATGCTGCAGACAAGCTCATGCTATGCTGAGCTACATATACATATTTACCAGAATGAAGAACTAAAGTGCTGCAGTCTGCTAAATTGACATAATTTTTAGGATGAATGGAGGCAAGTATTGGTATAAAACCCAAGTTTAAGACAGATATCTATAAAACAATATGAAGTAACAATTCTTTTCAAAGTGGCAAAGCAGAACTGGACAGTCTGTGAATAGAGTTTGTATGCAGAAGGCTAATTTTGAAATGTCCTGTTGATTCCATGAAACTGTGCCCTTCGCACGTGAGACTTCCCATTCCCTTTGTGGCAAATAGAGTATAAGGGGGTACAGCTGTGGATTTCAGTATTGTGCAGGGCTTGTGCACCACAACCAGCTGCTTCTGTTGCTGATTTATTCATTTGAAGTTCACTTTGTAGAAGTCACACAGCTTCTTTGCACTGGAGTTGGCTTGGATATCTGGAGATGTTCCTAAGCTAAAGGGTGGCACGCTGGGTTAGCTGGCTCAGGCAAGCAGGCAAAGGGATTTGCACTTTGCAGTCAGCCAAAAGTTATATGTGGATGGGGAGGAAGGTGGTGGTAAGGCTGGCAGCACTTTCTGCTTGGAAAACCAAAGTGCTTTGGCATGGGGTGTGGGCAGACCCATCCAAAATCTTCTAGTTTGGAACTAGGTAGTGGATCTACATGGCTTTGCTTCATCATTTCTCTGTATTCCAAGTGACTGTAAAGTGGCTGTGCTGGCACAGCCAGTGTGCAGAGATCCTGCCCTCTCCATATGAGCTTACACTGCTTCATCCCTGTCTGTTTGTTCCTGTCCCTGTGTCACCCCTCCACTTGTGTTGACACAACTGTTTGTTAGGACTGCACTAAAAACATATGTGGACTGGTTTGAATTAAAACTGCTCTTCATCTGCTTATTCATCTGGCCTTCTAACTGGTTGGGTCTGTACAGCTGGGGAGGAGGGGAGGCCTGGGGAAGCAGGTGGGCTGAGGTCAAAGCAAGATGCTGCCTGCTGGCTGGTGCTGCTGCCCACTCAGAGAGCTTCAGCCCCCTGAAATCACACATTTTAATGGCACTGCAGAGCAGGTGCATTACAGGACTTGTTCAGAGCAAATTGTTCTGAATAATGTGAGAGTTTTTTTATTCCATGTGTTCTGTGTTCATTGTTCTACACTCTAGGATCAATCAGGAAAATAGTTCTGTTAAAGTTGGACATCTCTTGATTACAGATTAATTGCCTTGAATACCTGACAACTGTCTGAAAAGCTCTGAACAATCAAAAAGGGATTATTTAACAAGCAACCAGAAGGAGTGACTGCACTGGGATGTGTGGGATGGGTGTTTGTGCAGCATACAAATTGGGCAGAGGGCATATCAGCAGTGCTGATCAGCAGTAAGAGGCTTCTTGCAAGTGCCCATACAACAAAAGCAACTGTATTAATTGTATTGCTGCATTGAAAATCTACAAATTTCCCCCTGTGTGGTGGGAAACTGCTGAATTGTGGCATACACTGTTTTGAAATGGACAAAAAAGAAGCAAGTCTCAAGGTCAGACCTTGTGGAAGCAACGGGGACTTGGACCTCTGGAATTATGGGCAAATAAAATGTATTTGTTGGTTCTGGCTTCCCCATTTGTAATTTAAGCTACCTCTACTCTGCAGCCATCTGGGGTAACTAATTAGCGTGTAGGAAAAGAATTTTCTGAACAAGGACCCCTCAAAGAAGAGGTGTACATGCACATACCAGGAAAACCACTAATCATGTGCATGAATCATTCCTGCTTCTGCTAAGTGTAGGCATTGTCCTTTTTGACTGGGTTCTTTTTTGCTGTAGGTGGGAGAAGAGTATTAGAATAGCAAGCACGTGTTATTTGAAACTGATCTGTCCTGAGTAGCTAATATAATATGTCAAGTGTCTTGATAGGAACTGGTATGTAACCTCTGGATCAACGTCCAATTTTGAAAAGGTCTCCTCACCTCCCCTGTTCTTTCTGGCAGAGAAAGAAGGCACCAATGGTGGAAGTGCACAGACACCTGGTTTTGAAACGGCAAGTTTATTAAAAATGTGCTCTATCACAAACATTGGAAACGCACTCAGCAGACTTTATTGCAACTGATTCAGTAGATTATGCAAGGGATATAACTTTCAATGTAGTTTGACAACTGAATCACGAAAAATAGCAGTCCAGTTTCCCTGGGAGACTCCCCACAAAACCCCAATATTAGCCAGCATCGTGTCCTAGTTTGAGTTCAGTCTGCCCTTAGGGTGAAGTGTAGAGTTCAAGAGCTTGAGCTTCAGATTGTACATATTTACACAGAAGGGCCTATGGGCTGCAGGGGAGGACGCATTAGCACCAGTGCTTATGGATTTGGGCTCACACTGCCTCTGCCGCTGTGTGTGCATGGTACTGACTCTACTGAAGAGTTAGGTTAAAAAAAGGTTCATAAATCTGGCACTTGGAAGGCAAACTGTGCTCTTCAGTGACTTAGGATCGTGGTGTTACGTATCACACTTGAATGCCTGTCTCTGAAAGCTGCCCCTCAGCATTACCTTGCTGTGCTTGCTTGCAAAAATGCACACTTTGCTTCACCTTGGCTTGAAGTGTTGTTTGGTGATAAGTACAACATTTTGAGATCAGGAAATCAGTGTGATTTTCTTACTGCTGTTCTAAAACTAAACACAAAGTCTGTAGATAAAGAATCCTAGACAAAATTAGTATCTTCAGCAGTTTTGGTGAAACGTTTTTACAGAGCAAAAAAAGATATAAATACAGTGTTTGCAATTACTTAGATTCACAAAAAAGGCTTTGGTTAGAAAACCAGAAAGGGACAAATAAAAAAAAATAAAAAAAACGAAGCCAAAGGAGTGTCAAATACTATATTGGAGTCAAATGAGTGCAGAATAAAACAGCAGCCATCCGTTAGTTAGTTTTTCAGTATTGAAATCCTCCACCTAAGGAAGCCCATGTCTCTTGCAAGCTGTGTGCCTTTCCTGACGTTCACAGCTGGTCCCCTCGCTCCAGTACAAGCAGAGTGGCGAGAATTCCACATTTTTCTGTTCAAGGCAGAGTCCCTCTCCCAGCTGTGAGGTAGAGATTGGGTATCAGGTCACTGGGGTATGAGATACCACTGTGTGTAGCAGTTACACATTCGTTTCTAGTTCATTTATTTCAATAGTGCAGTGGTCTTTACTGTTGGATTTCTTAGTGTGGTTCTCCACTGGGCTTTCTTCTTGCTCCACTTGTACAGGTATGTGCTGCTCCAACTCTTTCACTGTTTCTGGTCCACGAGGTTCATTCATGGTCTTCACACAGCCGTTTCTCTGGTAAGCCACAATCGGGTGGATGTTAAGAGGTTTAGTCTCACAGATCAGTGGCACCTATGTGAAAAGCAGTAAGATTTGGAATACAGCCACTCTTTGCTGTATACAAAAGGAAGGGAATTTTTACTTTGGAAGCTTCTAGTCTGTTTTGCATTCACCAGCATTACCTGGGGCCTCCAGACCTTCAGGACCTGTTTCCTATATACACTAAAGTGTCTTTCCACCATCTGGATAAAGTTAAGGAGTCTCTAAGTATGGAAAAATGCAAATTCTACTACAGCCCTAATTTAGCTTATACCCACAGTAACACCTTTTTGCATCGATAAGCAATATAAATAGTGTAAATGAAGACTAAAATTTCAGGTTTGAGAGATATGGGATCAGTAAGCTGAGCTTTGAGGAGTGGTTGCTCATGAGTGCAATTATAGAAAACAGGAAATCATTTGACGTGGCTTTCTGCCTTTCTTCTGACCCAGTGTACCAATACCTGTCATTTCAGTTTGTCCTATTTCAAAAGCCATCACGAGAATTGCAATGAGTGATTCAGATGTTAAATATTTAAGAGTCCTTTAAATCAAACCAGAAGTTCTGATGGGGAAAACAAGACATAAATACTGGAAAAGACGTGGGCTTGCAGCTGACAAAATTTGGCCTTTGGGTATACTTTACTAAGTCCACAAATTACTCTGCCAAAACTTATGGCAGACTAACAGTATATTTTAATACAATTACGGAGTGAGATGCAAAGAAAAATCTCATCGCAGATGACTAAATAATCCCTTAGGAGGGATTTTATATTCTTGAAACATCTCTTCTTGAGTTCCAACAGAGTTCTAAATACAGCAGTGAAATGTCAGGCCTGCATTATGCACTCCTGGCTCTTTGCCTCATGACACACCTTACCATTAAGTTGTTGTGTGTTCACTTTTTTTGTAATGAGCTGCACGTGTAGCCCAAGTATTCAGGCCTAATCCTGTCATCAGCAATTACTGCAGGTGCTAAGCACCTCTGAGGATAAAACCTTTACAAAACTTGAAAGAGTTGGAATTTTAAACGCATGTTCCAGGAAGGCCTGAGAGTGGGATTTATCAGAAAGACTGTCTGGACAATAGCAGAAATAATGCTGTCAATAAAACTTTGCTATTAGTACTGCTGTTTTTAAGTTCTGTCAGTGAGTAGAATACGCCAGATGACACACACAGGTGAAACGTGCCTTGTGAATAGCAGTCACTGCAAAGAACCTTTCCTATATAACCTGTCCTGGCCCTGCAAAAGAAAGCTTGCAAAGGTCTGCCATGAGCTGGAATGGTTGGGGATTGGCACCTCCCAGCATGGTGGGCTCAGGGATTTAGAAATCTCCTTTGCTGAGAACTGCAAGGAAGATTATGAGAAGGCATTCCAGGCATAAGAAAAGACTGAGTGATGCATGCCAAGAAAGAATGGAAAAAAAACATGGGAGTGGAGGGAGGCAGGGACAGATGTGGTGGACAGGCTCAGGAAGGTAGATGTGGTGGCTGCTTTTGTTGTGAGCTTAACGTTTGTGCATATATAGCCCTATGCACATACCCAAGGGTTTGTCACCCCTTTCTGTTGCTGGTCCCACCTTCAGAAGCAGCACACCCTGTCAGGGCTTGAGATACTGAGCACAGAGCTCAGCTCCAGCATCGCGTGTGTGTGCAGGACAGCACAGCTGCTCCTTCCTGCTCTGAGCCCCAGTGCTCCAGATACAGCCTGCCAAGAGTTGAACTCGAGTGGCTTTTTGCATGAACCCATGAAGGAAAACTCCTCCACTCTATCTGTCTAAGCAGCCTATTGCCCAATTCTGCCCTCTGTCTGAAACACCTTTGCATTTTGTTTGGAAACAAATGTGGGAAGCTGAGAGCTGGCAGGCTCTTTGCCGCACGCAGCCCAGCACACACTGTCACACCCTGGCTCTTACCTCATCACCGTCCTTGATGAACTCCTTCCGGCAGATGTGGGCCATAATCCCTGCAGCCAGGGCATCTCCCAGGACATTGATCATTGTTCTAAACCGGTCTCTGGTAAATGACAAAGTTAGGGTAAGTCGTTGGCTCTTTGGGCACATGCCCATGCCTTCATCACTGCAGTATTTATAGCCAAAAGTCAGTTTGGCTGTTTTTACAAGACAGCAAGTTCAGAAGCTAAGCTATTTAGCTGCTCCACTGGGTTTTCCAATCTTTTCTGAGCTTCGTGCACTATGCCTCCACATGCTCTCTGACCAGCACCTTGAGAACTCGCTGAGAACTGCAGCCACAGTCTGATGCAGTGGTTCCACAAAAACAAGGTCACATATCCCACTAGTTTTATGGTTGTGTTGCTCTCTTTTTTTGTGTTATAAAAAAAACAAGAGATGGCGGCAGAAGGGCAGTCTGAGAAAATAGCATCTGACATGGGAGTGTGTATGAAGCTAAGGGTGGAATTGAATTCCTCCATGGGGAAAATATGTCACTCACTGACATTCACTGACAATTGCTCAGTGTTGATGGAGACCAAACCGTGGATGTGAGCACGGTGAGGCAGTGAGTGGTGTGGTTCAGCAGTGGTGACAATGGGTCACATTTACTGGTGCGGATTTTTACAGGCACAGCATGCAGCCTCATGTTCATCGGTGGTGAAAATGTAAAGCTAATGGTAATGACTGTGTTGAAAAGTAGTGTTTTGTAGCTGAGAATTTACTCTATCAAGCAGTGCTATTATATTCTTTGTACCTGTCATAGTTTTCATGGAAATCAATAGCAGGCATTACTTTTGGGAGAACCCACATATATGCTGCCAAAGGCAACTCCTCTTCAGTCAGTGCTGCCCAGGCAAGCCAAAAGGTTGGACACCTATGTGCTATTGCTTCCCTCTGCATGCAAACTGATCCAGCACTGGAAAGTCTTAGCACAGCAGATCAAGACTTCTGCTTTTTTATGTTGAGCTCCAGTGATATGGCCTCATCTGGAGGCTGCTGATGCAAATGTCTTCATTCAGTACAAGTAAAGGGCAGCCAGTCCAAACAGTACCTTGTACTAGGTATCAAGATCCCAGTCCTGCATTCTTAAGCAATCTTCTCAGCAAGAAGATAATTGTATAAATAGGAATTACAGAACACAATTAAAAGCTACTCAGAAGATTGCTAAATAACTAAACGCACAATCTATGCAGGGAGTGACCACTTACTAACTTAAATCCTGTTCATTTCTGAAAAAAGCCACAGTTGCCATGGCACCTCTGGCTCCTAGGATTCTTCATTTTCAGTTACCTTTTTTTCCAATTTCAATTTTCCATTTTTTATGTTTGACAGTATTGTGTATACATACAGTGTCACTGTTTTCCATTTATTTATGGAATCAGTTCTTCCCTGTTTTACATCTTTCACCCACCAACATCTCAAAAATATTGACTGTAAATACGCAAGAGTAAATGGTTGCCATAGACAAGTGCTTCGTTTGAAACTGCTTGGAATCTATTAGTTAAAACTGGTGAGATTTCAAATGGATGATATAGTTTTTAAGGCTGAAATATATCACAGTTTTCCAAGAAAAACATTCACATCTGAAAGCTGTGTCAAATTGGTAACTTAATTTATAAACGTGGGTTATAAAATGGAGGCTCAGAAATCTCCAGATGTTTGGCTTATTAAAGGTAGTGACAGTCCAACATCAACAATGCCCAGATTTCTGATCCTGTAACTTAATATACAAAAAATTGGAAACTGTGTGCTGATGTTTTTTTCTCCAGATATTTTAGGCATGTAATCTATGCATGCAAATGTTTGTGCAGTTGCTTGCCTAACTAGAAGAAAGAGTTCTTGCATGAAATGTTATTTGCCTGTGCTGTTATCCAAATCATACATGCAATTGCAGGTAATTTCATCAGATTTCAGCGCCTACACCTAGATGTGTTTGTTGAATTTAGGATCCAGTGCTGAAGTTGTTTGCTGACTCCATTTTTCTGCTACCTGTTGTTCTGAGTTTGGGTTTTGCCTTGAGGAGAGTTCCCACAGCCATGTTTAGTTAAGCAGGGAAAACTGTTACAGCACAAAGTGGGAGATGTTCCTGTTACATGTAGGCTTCCTCTTGGTTGACCATCAGATTTGGATTCGTGGAAGACTGTTCTGAAATGTTAATTTTGCACTGTGCAAAGAGCTGTGATGGAGAAGAAGTTGTATGAGCAGAGCTCCAAAGTTTATACTCTCTACTGGTCTCTGATTAGGATCTGCTGTGAAGACAGAATTTTTTTGAGGAAACAGAGCACCGTACTGAAACTCTTAAGAAAACTGATTGCCTGGCACATTGTTGGACCAATCCTGCTCCATGTTCCTGTCTGCACACAGATGTCTGCACCACACGTAAGTAAAATCACATCACACACCACTGAAATTTCTCTACTAAGAGGCCAACCTGCTGCTCATAGCATTTCTTTCAGTGCAAAGACTTGCAACAAGTGTTGCAGTGGTATCTGAGCTTTAGAGGATATTATAATTAAAGATGCAGAACTTTCATCTTGCATTCAATAAATAAGCTGAGAAACATTTTAATTTTCTTACTTTGTCTCCAGGCACCAGCAAAAGGAATGTAGTTCACATACATGTTATATCTACCTAAATGAATTGTAATACCTTCAATGCACTGTGATGGGTATTTCAGTCTTGTGAGATCACCTAATCAGCCTTCTTCAAGCACTCTTCATACTCTAGTGCTTCCAAAGCTAATACTGACAATATTCATCGTGTCAACCCTGTTGACACTTTGCATCTGCAGACTCTTGAAACCAAGTGCTGAAATACTGAAATATACTTTGCATATGAAAGTTCATCCACAAAAGACAGAAAATTGAGTCTGTCCCTTGTTCACTTTTTAATAGCCTCTGGAACTATAGCCTGAGTGAGTTTTTTGTTGTTTTGAGATGCTTTGTAAAACAAAAAGCAGAATTCCCATATACACTGGAAGACTTACAGGAAAAACAATGAAGTGCTGATGTTGCAAAAGCTGGGTGAAAACTAAGCAATATAAAGGGAAAAGGGTTTTGTGATACAGCTTAAAATACTTTGTGAGTTCTGTTGTACTTCTAAACTATGGAGCTTCAATGACTAGTGGTAGAAAGGCTGCTTTATAACATCTGAACAGCCATTCCCACATTCAGGTGCTCCCAGCAGATGCTATTTTTCCTTCACATGAGAATATTCCTGATATTTGTAAAATAAAGCCTGTCATAGAATATGCAAACAACACAGTTCTCATGATTCCTATTAGCAATAGTAGTATTCAATTATGATGGACAGGAAAGTAAGCAATTCCTTCTCACAGTTCTTTGTAGAAAAATTCAGTGACTTGAAGTTGAACAAAATGGGCACCGTAGCAGAATGGACTTGAGATACATTTTTACACAGAACTCTGACGTACTTCAACTTCACTGCATTAAGATTGGTAATGGAGATATATTTCACACAAATGAATTTTTTTTAGAAAAGGATTGTTTCTTTGTAAATACATTTGCTAGTGATGTAATTATTTGAAATGCCAACTGGCTAGGGACCAGTATTTTGCCAATCAATCATCTTCCTAGACTATTCAAAATACGTTTTTTTGTTTATGGACATTGACATAACAAGATGAGAGTCCAAATAAATCATCTATTATGAATTTTTAAGTTGCTTCTTCTCATGGGTAACAGGAATCCCTTCTAGTCTGAAGACATCAAGTTTCAGCTTCCGTTTCTGCTGCAAAATCCTCAGTGATTAGGGATCCAGCAAAGTAACTTCTGCACTGAAACCAGCCCTGCCAAAACACACTTCCTAGGAGCGTTGGCTCCTCATCCTGTCCAAAATATGTACTTCCCATGCCTTTTAGGTATACTCATATTAATACCTTTGGAGAACATTTGGCTTTTTAGCAGTGTTGCCACACAGGAAGCCTCAGATGCTTAATGTTACTTACAGCGCCCAGTCAACAGCAATGATCAGTGTGATGTCATCCGTTGGGAGTCCGACCGAGGTCAGGACAATGACCATTGTCACCAGGCCAGCCTGGGGGATACCAGCAGCTCCTATGCTGGCAGCTGTCGCTGTGATGCTTTAACAAAGAGAGAAAGGAGTAAGCTTTACCAGCGATGGATTGCTCTGCAAGAAGCAAAACCATGTTTCTACAGGAGCTTTCATAATCCAGTCGTTATTATGCAAGTCACATGCTGGTGTTTGGTGTACAGAAGCCAGCTCAAAGAGCAAGGACAAGACAAACCTATTTAGCACTGCCCAGTGCTAAATTCTCCCCCTTTAGCTTTGCAGCCCTTGCTTTGGTAAGGAAGTTCTGTGTTCTCCCTTAGCCTCACAAGTGAGGAGAAAAGAGGCTGCTGGGCTGTGGCCTCTCTGAGTGATGTCAGCTCTGGTGGGTCATGTCACCACGAGCCTGGCAGTGCTGCTCCCCATGGTTTCAGCCTCAGCAGCAGAGCTCTCTGCAGACTTCTCTGATTCATCACTCATGGCTCCCGTGCCAGGCAAATCCTGTGCTGGCAGCAGTGAAGGCCTTTTACGTCAGTCCATCACACAGAAGCAAGGCCAAGGGTAAAGAGTCTGGGCCAAGGGTGAAGCTTGCATAGCACGTGGCTTTGCGTACTTGGATCTAAATGTGAAGCAAGCACAAATGTGACTGTACCTCTTCAGTTTCAGGAAAGTATTTTTACTTGACCTTCACACCATTTTCTCAGCCAGCCAAGCAGAAATGAATGGGAGACCAGAGCAAGAGTGGACCTGGCTGTTCTATCATTTTCTTCATAACGCTATCTTTAGGGGGTGGATTTCATTCCTTTTTCCAGGAACAAAAGTGACTGTATATATATTCATTCCCTCCTATATGGCACTTCCAAGAACCAGGCCATCCAGCAGAGAGACAAAAAATGAATTTTGACTATTGTAAATGGATGACATAAAGTATATATGGTGATAACGCACTGCATTCATTGATCCAGAATTTCAGAACTTTTGGCAAGCACCTAAGTCTTATCAGCCTTCTTTCTTGGAAAATGAGCATAACAGTATTCACACGTATGGAAACTGAGACAGAGAGATATCCAGTATCTTGCTCACAGCCATACAGTGTATCAGTAGAGCACCATAGGTATTTGTAACTACCCTTCCCTGAAATAAATAAATGTCTGTGGGTGTGATGGGGGAAGAGAAAGATTTAAAACTGAATTTAAAAAAGTTAGCATCTTAACAGCATTTTAATAGGCATAGTATAGATAGGAAGGAAGGTACTGAAGCTCAGTAGCTGTATAAGAGATAAGTATAATGAAAATGAATAATGAAAAGTGCTCCAAACTTGCTTGCTGTTTTAGAACTGCTTTAGAACTGCTTCTGCCCCCCAGGTTAGTTCAGGAAAAAATGTCTTGTGATAGGGAGCAAAAATAAGAATGTTTATGCAACACTGTACAGGCAAGCTCATCTGCTTCTCCACTATATTTTGACCTTAATGTAGATGTTTCTTCCACTAATTGGCTCAGCAGATAGGAATATGATCTTTATTCTCTTTTTCTGCCAGGTTTGTATAACCACACTGACATAAACTGCCAACCTGGATTTTATAAACTGTGAGCAGAATAGGCTGATTATTTTTCTAATTTTTAAAAAAATTATCCTGGCATCCAGTATTTGAATTTCAACTCTCCACCTCCTAGAATATCTGGATTTAGGGAAAGTTTTGCCCATAGTTAAAACTGGGCTTCGGATACTCTTTAGGTACTGAATCCACTGTGAATTCCTATTTTCCCTTCTTTTGTAACCCAGCTTTTTTTTCTTTTCCTTTTTGGGGGGGATTTTTCTAATCTTAAGTTGCATTCTCCTTTTACTATCTTCACATTTTTTTGGTTGTTACACACTAGCACTTAATATAGGCAGTGAAAATAAAAAGATAAAAGAGGGTTCTGCTAAGTAAGAGTTAGAACTTACCTTCTTGCCATTTACCATCACCCTCCTTCCTCCTTCCTAATTTTTAAAATCACCATTCTCTGCTTCAAGGTTCAGGTAATGTCTGCCCATAGTCTGAGCCATATTTTGGGACCACATTGTAAAAACATCCCCAAATTCAAAATCACAAAAGACTAAATGTTAGTACAGGAGCATTCCAATAATTTTTAGTGAGGAGGAGAGAAAACACAAAGCAAGAGCTCACATGGGCACAATTTATTTCTTCTGCTAACTGTAAGCAGATCTTGCCAGAAGTCCATCAGCAAGCTCCAGCTGTCATTTGGGGCTAGTTTCAGGACTTCTTCCTTTTTGTCATGAAGCTTTTCAAGTCCAGCAGAGGATGGACAAGGCCCAGCAGAGTACATAAGGCAGTGATGAGGTCACTGGGTGGGTAAATAAGCCGATCTCAAACGTGTTGCACAAGGCTCTGACTATGAAGAGTGTTTTTCTAATCATCTGTTCCCTGCTGGAAACCTACAGGTTTCAGTCCCTGAGGCATTCTTTGGAAGTCATTGGAGTTATTATGGCAATAATTGTTCAGCTGGATCTCTTCTTTTGGATCCATTACTGACCTTTCAAGGACAGCAGTATGCAGCTATAGCACACTCCACCACTGACCGCATGGTTGTTCATGAAGGCTTCTGCTCTGACAAGCAGCAGAGAAGACATCTCAAAAATATCTGAGTGCTGTGATGTTTTGATGAAAACCTGCCCTGATAGCAGCATCCTTCTTCCTTCCCTGGCCTCTCTCCCAAGTCTTGACAGAGTTTCCTAACACCCATTATTCCCTGTATCTGATACAGGGCTTTTAGCTTCTTTTTTTTAACACCTTCTTCTTATGCAAAGATACCAACGAAAGTGAAAACTATTCTGAAGTTTAAAATAACATTTTCAACACCAATAATAATAATAAAATGTGCCAATTTCAGTAAATGATGGGTGTGCCTAAAGGTAAAAACTAGATAAATAATTTCCAATTTTTAAATAGTACCAGTACAATTTCCCCATCTACACTCCCTGATCTCCACGTTACTTAAAAATAACTGTCCTATGAGAAATAAGTGCTTGAAAAAATTGCAAACATGAATTTTATCCTGAACATTTCTAGACACAAAAATCATAGGAACATCACACTCAACTAGACAAGCAAATCTGGGTGTGTGGAATTTGAGGTTTATACCTTATAGTAATAATTTGCCCAAAATCCAGCTCATAGTTGTTTACTTGTGCAATGAAGATGGCAGCCACTGCTTCGTAGAGTGCAGTCCCATCCATGTTGATGGTGGCTCCCACAGGCAGCACGAACCTTGCAATCCTCCTGTCTACGTGGTTGTTCTCCAGCAAGCACTTGAATGTGATAGGCAGCGTGGCTGAACTGCAACACAGTGACAGAAATACACTAAAATTATTATTCTTTCTGGGGAACAGAATGAATTGCAGAAAACCTTCTCCAGAAAGGGTAAATTCTGCACTGAGTACTGCTTTGTATTCCTGGGTCTGCACAGGTGACTTACTTGCCCTGTAACTCATTTGCTTGAGTACTGGGGGGTGAATGCAGTTGCACATACACATGCTAGTTATCTGCTAATTCTTCAAAAAATTAAAATGTAATTCTCTTTTTCCCTCTTTCAGAAGAAAAGGGACAGAAATCCTGCAGAAGTAGCGTTGTACACTCAAATGCAAGATAGAGGAAACACCCCCACAGCTTATTATTGAAATCTTTGGAAACTAATGTGCATTGTTTTTTAAAGAAGTTTCCCTCTAGGCCTTCTGAAATAGAAAGCCAATTTTGAGCAGCAAGAGTAGCCATAAGCCAAGGAAAGTACACACTAAGAAAGGCTCTTAACTCATGGCAAGGAAATGCTACATAAATACTTTAAAGCTACTTTTTAAAAGAGAGAAATAATCTGGGGGCAAATTTTCTGCCCTCTTGTGACCTACTTGCCCTTGGCAGTGAAACAACGGTGTCTTCCCACTAATATGCCCAGTCTGAGTTGCTAAGTCACTGTGTTAAGAGTCTCACATCAGCAATTTACCTCTGCTGTCTTACAGTGGCTATTATCTGTTCTTCGTGGGAAAAAAAAACAAGACACATTTGATGGACAAATTTTTTCTCAGTCATTACATTTGACATACGAAGTCACGAGAGGTTCTGAAAGCCTTAGTATCGTAACTCCAGAGTTTCAGGAATGCATTTAGCAAAATGTTTCCATGAGTAGGAGTTGTCATTTTGTATTTGTGCAAGCTGTTGTTTGAGGAAAAGCACAGTTAGTGTTTGGAAAGGAAAAGTAGCTTCCTGCAATAGAGAAATGTAGAAGGACCAAGAAAGGTCTATGACAGGATGCTTTCAATACAATCTTTCTGTTTTCCCTAGCCTTATCATGCCTGACTGCTGAATGATTTAATCATTGTGGTCCTTTTCAACCCAGGCCATTCCATGATTCTATGATTTGCTACGGTCACTGCCATGAATATCTAGGCAAAAGAAATTCATTAGATGTGTAAATAAACAGAAAGGACAAGGAATCGAAAAAATTACCCCTGGGAACAGGGTTATGTTCAACTTTTTCATACTGGCAGTCCTAATACTTAATCAGTATTTACTTTGAAAATCAAACAGAGCAAAGCATAACACCTCAAACTACACACTAGATGTCATTTCTCTCTTGGGCATGCATCTGCTTTTTTTTTTTTACACATTCATTTCTGAGTGGCTGAATTTCTCTATGTGTAGTTTATCCTAAACTATTTATAAAATAAGCAGTAATGCAGAACAGAAAATCCTGTTGTCCTAGCACAGACAGCTATTCCATACAGTCTCACCCAAATTCAGATCTCAGAGGTAGCAGTGTCTGTCCTAACTTGCTACTGAAAGAATTCCCACATTTAAGGGTTTGGCCCTGGTTAATCACAAGTAGTAGCAAAGAAAAACAAAAAGCTTTCTACTGTCATTTTTGAGTTACAGTCATACATGATTTCAGTGGCTGAAGAAAAAAAAGAAAACATTTAATAGATATATATTAATTTGTCTATCCAGTTAAGTGAAGTGAAGTTTGTGTTCTTGAAAGCATTTTATCCAGTAGTAAGCAGAGGGGCAGAGCTATGAAGGCCTGACATGTAACATTTATTTGGAGGAAAAAATACTCTAAAGCACTGATCTTAATCTGCTAAGTCTTTTGAAACTTTCCTAAAGCTTTCAGCTCAAAGAGCAATCTTCTCCCCCTGCTAACTCTAACAATTAAAAATACATTTTTAGAGTCTTATCTCAATTTTGTTTTGGATAAAATGCTGCAGCTGCAGGGACTGAACATAAGCTAATGCTGGATCAGGCCGAGCTCTTAGTGGTGTGAGGCACAAAGACAGCTAGTCACTGTGCAAGAACAGCTGTTCAGCCTGCTCTGTTTATCTTATCATTCAAATGCATTTTGATATTTGCTCCAAAAAATCAACGAACTGATCTCATCTCCCCCTTTTGCTAAATCTGCCTTTAATTTACACTGTGCAATAGCCAAGATCTGAGTGTTTCATAAGCAGCAAAACCCTTGAACGAGGCATGTTTTATTGCTTGTCTTCAGAGAAGATGAAAATTGCTTCTTTTGATGGGATGTACCACTGAGAAGACGCTGATTTAATTCATTAATGGTATGGAAAGATGACCTAGAAAAATAAAACTCCCTCATACCGTTGGAATGAGGAAAGCTAAAAAACAGGAGGAATTCTTGTCAGTGGGCCAAATACTGCTTTTTTAATGCAGAGGTGACAAGATAGGGTAAATGTGAGGGGAAGAAAGTAGCAAAATTCATGGCTATGCAGAAACTTTCACTGAGGGGAAAATGGGTTGAAATAATGTGCAGATCCAATGAAATCATTGCCATGAGATGACTGTTAAGTGGTTCTCAGGTTCCCTTGTGTTACATTCTTGGGTTTTGCACATGGTACTGTTTTTCTCTCTGCAGTTTGACTTTTAGCCTAGAAAGAAAGCTTTCCACAGGTGCAGACTAACTGGAATGAGTATCAGAACACTGATTTGTGGTTTTCTTTCTAACTTTAGATGTAGACATGAGCTGACAGAGAAACATCTGCAAGAAACCCATCAGTATACTTAAAACCAGCTCTTTGTTCTCCTCTTAGATGATCTGAAAATCCAATACCCACATGATGAGTGTTACATAATGCCCCCGTGGCAAGTATTATTTAACTGAATACAGATGTGTTGACTATTGGGAGAAGCAGCTCTCCTGTCCAGACCCAATTACTTGTGCATTTGTGCATGTTCTTTTGGCAAAAGCTCAGTTATGTGCAGTATCCATTCCTTTCAGTGTAATGAAGGTGAAAAGTTCAGCCATCTCTAGACAAGACAATGCTATTTGAGAAGCAAAACATTAAAACCCACGTTGGGCCTATATGGATTTACAGAACACACACTGGTAAGAAGAGAAAAACATTATATTAATCAAAAGTGTCCGAGCCTCAAACCTGGAATTTCAGAGTCATTCCTTGGGGCTCACTTTAACTTTGGTGGTAGCTTCTGCCAGTAAAGATAGTAAATCCCTTCTGGTAGCAAATCCTGTTGGTGGCTGCTGACAGCCTGAGCTTCTGGCTGCTGCCAGAGCTTTTCCCATACTTTGAAGCTCTGTCTGGTGCCTGCTGAGTACTTCACACTGGCTTTTCTGGGGACTTCCTTGGAGCCAAACTCTGCCCATGAGGAGCTGAGCTCCTAAATGGATATGGGGGGTTCTAAGTGATTGAATGCTGCCTAAATGTTAAGCTTTGATGATCACTGTGATATGGAAGTCTTTTAGAAGGGCCAGCTTATATTTGCTAGAGGGCATGCATGTTCTTTCCTTATATATGCAAACAATCAAGACAAAAAATAACTGATCTATAAATCACCAAACCAATTACGACTTTCTCCTAGTTGTAATACAGCTCTGGCACTCATGGAACAAAGGAATCAAAACCCTGCAAAGCTTTGTAGATTCAGTTGTGCATTTTGATTACTGTATCACATCTGACTTTTTGTTTTATCACTATTAGCATTGGAACATTTCCAGCTTTGAAATATACCGTAACTAACCTGGACCTGAATATATTATAAACTGCAAAGAAAGCACTCTGTGTATGTCAAGGGACTTTACACTCAAAGCAAGAGGCACAACGTGGAGATGAGGTCCGATGAAGAAACAGTGACCTGCTTTGATAGGAGACGGCTATTTAAAAGAGCACAAGCCCTAAAAGACCAGTAAGGGATTAGTTAATTGGTTATAAAATCAAATTGCAATGATGGTGCAAAATAAGGAAAATTAAGAAAAGGAATCCAGTTTTAACTAAACCATACTTGATAATGGAATGAAAAAGTGAGCTGACTAAACTAGGGAAAAAAAAAAAGACAAACTCTTCTATAGCTGATAAAGGAGGAACAAAGTTTCTTCTTTTTGTTCTCAAAAAACAAAAAAATTCAGATTAGGTTTTTAAGGAAAAAATATTTTTTCCTAGAAAAAATATCTCTATTTCCTTATTCCTTTCTAGAAAAAGAGAATTAATGAAATAGCACAAAGAAAAAGCCCGGGTTGCCAACAACAGAGCACCTTCAGAAACAGAACTCCAAGAATTCCTAGCGGAGTAGGGCAGACAGTCAAGTGTGTCAAATATGAGAGTAAGGGACCTTTTCCAACAATAATATCTTTGAATGTAAAATTAACATCTTACTTGAACATGGGGATGGATGTGACAACATCACTAACTTCAAGCTCTAATAAAACAGCCTGCCTTAATTATATAAGCCCAATTAGAGTTTAAAACACCACCCAGCACATAATTTATTCTTGACTTCGTGTTTCTCAGTATGCTTCTCTTTATAGGCCAGTTTGGAGCAAACTATTAAATATGAAAACACCCTGTAAAGTGACACATGCTGGAAAGCCAATACATTACAACTGTGCTGAAATAATCACTCCCTCCTCTCCTTTCTTTTAATGCCTACACATTCCTTCTGCTCTTCTTACTCTTGCCTTAATATAAGTATATTCACGAGAGAAACAACCATCTGCATATGTGCTTCCTCCCCCACATTACCTTATTGGACCTCATTGGAACTATAAGGAAATAACGAGCCCAATCAGGCCAGTAGGGATGAATGTTTTAGGCTTTTTTCCCAAGTCTGGCACAGGTCTGGCATTATACTTCAGTTTTCTCTTTTGCACTTCCCTTGAGTACCTTGTACTGCTACTAATAAAAGCCACTTGTACCATATATTGGTAGGTACAGCTGCTCTTATTATTTCAGAGTAGCAAGCCTCCAGCCACAGATGTGACAATGCTGTATTTTTGTTATATCAGCTATATGGAAATGTGATTTGTTTTGTCCTTAATGTCTTATGCTCCATGATAGTCAATTCCAGGCCTTTCAAGGATCCTTTATACACAAGTTGGTGCTCTTTTTCTTAACCAGTTCATGAGCTGTTTCCCATTTCACTGTTCAGCTATGGTTAAAGTCCATTGCACGCTTTCCCTGAAAGGAATGTAAAAAATACTGTTCCTCAAGAACAGGTGAATATCTTTACACTGCTGGACATTAGCTTGCAACCACAGTCTTTTCTTAATGTACCCAAACCTAAAGATCAAGAAGAGTAGAAAGTGTAAAGTGTTTCCATACAACTGAACTAAGAGGTTCTCTACCAATTCTGAAAATGTATTCTGGACAAACTGTGTCCCTCAATATATTTTAACTTTTTAGAAACACACAATTTGTTTTTATAGAAAAACACCCTTATTACCTTTCTAGTCCTCTAAGAAAAATCATTTTTGTCCAATATTTTTTCAGGTGAGGGAAAATAATGTAACAAACACCACTGTCAAATGGCTTCCACTCATAGCTTCCAAATGTTGATAAACACATAAACACATACTGAAACTAGATAATACCTGGAGGAGGTGGCCAGAGCAATAAGCAAGGCTTGAAGAATCCCTCTGATAAAGACAATAGGATTCTTCTTGGTGATAAAGAAGTACATCATTGGCAGAATGAACAGGCCGTGCACAACCAGACCGCACACTACAGTAATGGCGTAAAACCCCAGCTTCTTCCCAATGGCTGAAGGGTCATCCATTTCTAAGATTTTACCAGCAATTAGAAACACGATTCCAAATGGAAAGTACCTGAGAAAAAGAAATGCAGTCATTAGCAGGAGATAATTCACTTCCACCAAACAGCTTGAGGGAGAAAACTCCTGAATCCCACTTTCAGTGTAGTAAAAGCACCCACCCATAAGTGACACAGCTGGACTCAGTTGTGTCAGACCAGATGTGCTTAGGCCCTGTCCCACACCTGAGGAGCAGGCCCAAAGCACTATTCCTACTGTTCCTTTAGCTGGGGTAATATTGCTGGTCAGGAATGAACTTAAAATATTTGGGTTCAGAAAAAGGCTCTGACTTTGTAGCTTAAGGTAGGTCATTTACTTGGCAGCTAGGGAATGAGTACCAGGCTCTGCTGTGCTGTTCATACTGATGGAACAGTTGAAAACTGTTAAGTAGATGCTTATGCAGAGAATTATCAATATGCATTAGACATGCTCTTGGACTGCCTGGGCAGAAGACTACCTAGTTTTTGAACGGTGGTGTTCATTGCAGAGACTGCTGAGCTAGCAGGAAGTACATTGGCTGCAGTATAGATCCTGAGGGACCATTAGCTTAACCAAGCTGAAACCAGGTGAGAATTTCTGTGGAGCTGTGCTATAAGGTATGGCAACACTAGCCTGAGGTGCTCCTGCACGTGGGCTGGATGTATTATAATCCACCCAGCTACACTGTGCTGAGTGATATATGGGGTGCCTCTGTTAAAGTGACAGGGCATTCCCACAAAACTAAGGGTTGTTCAGTCTCATTTATTTCCCTTAAAATAGGTTTATGCCTTTTCTGTCAACATTTTTTCTACTCTTTCTAAAAAAAAGCTTACTAAATCTGTTACTTACCAAACAGCAACTGCCACTATCTTCATGACAGATTCATTTAAACATTGACAAAAGCTGACCAAAGGAACACCACTGTTTCCCATTCTTCCCAACATTATACCTGCAAACGTAGACATTTGTGTTTAAATTCTCATGTGCCTTCATGCATACCCCCAGAGCTTTCCCTCCCTGTCATAACTCAAGGTAAACTAAATGGGACATAGCTGGCTGAATATAGATCTTTGTGCGGTAGGAATAGACAATATATCTGAAAGTAAGTAAGTTCAAAGAAGAAATTAGATAGGAGATAAAGAAAACTGTATCAACTTTTTCCTGTAATAATCATCACAACATAACCTTTGTCATCGTGAAGTAGGGCATACTAAGGGAGTGGTTAAAGTCCCTCTTCATAATTCACAAAGATAACATAACATACGTGGCAACAGTGTTTCTTCAGCAAGTGAAACTAAATAAATCAGCTAGAGAGAAGCTCTTCTAGTTCACTGAGATAAGCCACTAGATGGTATTTAAGCACTGGACAATGAAAAAATTAAAACAGTGAAGTTTCAATAAAAGACATGATCCAGAATTTGAGGCTGATTAAACAATATTCCTCTGAAACTCATATCTCTGAGGCTTATTATCTGAACTGTGCTCTTAATAGGGAAGAGATAGTTATATTTTACACTCATAATGTAATAAAATGTGATAAAGAATACATAAGAATGACAGGGAAGACTCCAAGGCAAAAATCAATTTATTGCTTGCTAAGGAAAACTTTAATTCTCCTTGTACCTTGTCTGGTAGTAAGTTTTTCTTGTTGAGGAAACCCAACAGCCCAACCTTTATCTTTTTCTCTTAAATGGATACTTGGATTATTGCAAACCATGTCTGAAACCTACCCATTGTTGCAGAGAATATGACAATCCCTAGCACATTCATGCCATCACTCGTGCCTGGTTCTGATTTGTAAATCACTTCAGGTGGAGGAGTGATGTCCAAGGCAAAATTCTGGACATTGGATCCATTCTCATCTTGAACTCCATATATTATAATGCGATGAGTTGTGCTTTCAGATGATGCTTTGTTGGCTTTAATGATGGGAATACTCTTTGTGCGATACTGAAAGAAAACAAAGGTGTTTTTTTACTATAATATCCCAGCAGAAATTAATAGTTAAAAAGAGACTTCGTAAGTTCTTTGTTAATTAAGGCTGTCTGTTAAGGGGAACAGCATGAAAACAATAACAGCTCCTGAGCCTATGTGTAGAAAATGTTGGATTTTTGGAAAAGCAAAAATCAGAATTTCCTAAAATCAGAGCCTTGTGCAGCAAGCGCGTGATCTGATACAGTTGCTTTAGACATTCCCTTGTATTTCCTTTCCTGCAGGACATAATTGGGAATTACTTCCCAGGTGCTCAATTGCCCTTCTCTTTGCTTCATGGAGTTCCCATTAAATATTCCCACAGATGAAACAAATATAGCCATGCCTCTTGCTTACTCACAACTTTTAGATGAGATTTTCTGGCCAAATTCCAAATTTAGCAATTAAATTCTTCCTAAATACACGATTTTGTTGCTTTAGTTGGATACTGCATTCTGTTCTTCCTTTATGCAGTGGTACAGTGCCCTCTGAGAGCAGAGCAAAGAATAGAATGAAAATGGGGTCCACATATAGATCCCCCAGCACAGCCAGGATTTGTGCTGGCTCCAGTCTGGAAACAGCAGAGCTGTATTATTAGCAAGGCAAGGTCTCTTAACTCATCCTCTATCAGAGAAGTGGCTACTGTATGGCCGACACAGCACAGCACTAATCTGAAGCACTTGCTGCACATTTTGCTACTCAGGCTTGATCCTCAAAAGAGTTTGAGGTTTGTAAAACAGCTAGTTACATGATATCTCAAAACAAAGCTTAGAATCCCATGCTATAGCAAAAATGTAAAATCCTGAAGGTTTCTCTTGATAAAGAAATGGCAAAAAAATGTATCCATGGCCTAACCCACGACACAACTTTGCTCCAGATGGGATCTCCAGGTTGGATCTTTACTGGACTATTAAAATAATTCTGACCTACCAGTTGTAGTCAGGCTGCAAGACTGCTGAGGCTAGTGGAAGTGAACTCATTAATTCTTAAATGCTCAAGGTACTTGTAATATCTGAAGTAATACACAGTATCTACATCTGGATTCTGTTTTAGGAAGACATATCATGTGCATCTTTCTATGATGCTGGCTCACCTTTTCAGTGGTAAAAGAACAATGGCCACTTACCTGCTTGAATGTGGCTTCAACAAGGTTGGCTGGAAACATGTTCCTAGAAATGAACAAATAAAATCAATTCTATGGAACTGAAGGCAATTTCTGTTTACTGGGTCTCAGGTCTATGAGATATTGGTTATTTACCCTTCACAAGGGATGAACGCTGCAGGAGGCTGCTGTACAGATGTGACTGACTCAGCAAGGCACAGCAGGGGGACAGTTTGTCAGAATTCATGTTTCTAAATACTGGAGTGAAACCCAGGAGCTCTAGTTCTAGTTTCTGGCTCCTCCACTGTCTCCATGTTGTAACTGACAATATAAATAGTATAACTCCCTTTCCCATCTAACTGGGGAGAAGAATATGTCTTTATTCTGGATTCTGTCGTGCTTATTTAGATAATGAGCTATTCAAGAGGGAATCAAAGTTCACGGATGTACTCCTGAGATCCCTGGGTGCTGTAATCAACTTTGGGACGTTAGGCACTGCTGCGGGAAGACCTACAAGCAGCAGTATGTCCTGATTAAAAATTAAAATTAAAGTCATTTCATCACTAAACTTCTAAGCAGTGTAGCTTTTGCAGAGGTTTGGTCACAAACAGTTTGCATTTCAAACAGATTATCTGATTCCTGATTGAAAGAATTGAGACTAGAGCTGCATAGTCTCTGCTAACTTTTAGTTTTGTCCTGAGGCTCCAGAACAAAAGACTGACATGAGGCAAACAGTTTCATCTGTGCTGAAGCTGAACTATAGCCCAAAATAATGATCATACACTCAGATCTGCAGTGAAACTGAAATATTTTTAATTCCAAAGTGGACTCTTGTTATTTTTTCTGACTTTATCTCAGACCATAACATTTCACCCAATAATACCTGGAGTTAATTTATAACTTCTGTTTGAACTAGGTTATTGCCTTGTAGAAAGTTATTTAATCCTAATTTGAAATGGAGAGCGCACCCTCTAGAGGCTTCAGAGAGGAATAAATCTTTTTTCCAGCAAAAAAACTGAAAAATCATACATTCCCATGTAGCATTTGGGAATCAACATTTGTATAATTACTCTCAATAGTCCTAACAGAACTGCTTTATTTTCAACAACACCAAGTGTCTGAACCTCAAGCCAAAAGACAGTGGCACACTGTGACCCAAATCTATGTTTTCACATAAACTTATGCAAAGAGAATAATTCCTGAATTCTTCTCAGTTTTCTAACCAACTCAAGCTTCAAGACAACTCTTAAGCATATGTGAAAAGGCTATTGTTATTCTAAGGAGAATTGCTAACTGTGTATATAGTTAAATGCATGCCAGACTGAGACATTTTCCAGATCTGTTTTCCTCTCTGCACCAGCAGCAGATGCGTGCAGCACTGGCTTAGAAAAAAACACATTTATTACTGTTTTAAAGACATGATAATGTCACGTGATGCTTACACCTCGAATTATGAGGCAAAGTCTGTTTCAGTACCATCAGACAGAGCAATTACTACAATCAGAGAATTAATCTTTTCAGAGTAAAGCAGAGGAAGAAGAATTTGAATTACAGGTCAGCAGCATTCTCTAATGATTGAAGCAGAAGACTGAAAATGAGTTGTAGTGTTGGCTCTCTGTGAGAGCAGACAAGCTGAATGAAAGCATCCTTTGCCATCTTGGTAAGGCTGTTGCCTTAGGGCACAGTGATTAATATCAGGTGAGCTCACAATGATGCACAGCACTTCTGGCCCTTTCTCATGCCAGTGGAGGTGAGGCAGCTCAGATGACCTTCCCTTGCCACCTGAAGTGGGATGCTGTGGGATCACAGCATCTCTAAGCTGGGTTGTACACTGGCAATGTCTCCTTACATTTTACCTGTCCTGCTTAAGAGCCCCAGGCATGATGATGGCTGCGTCATGCAGGGACATGAGATTAGAAAGCTCTCCCCACATAATCAACTTGTCCTAAGGTCCAGTTAGCAAGACGTAGTTAAATTAATGCAATTCCCTTGAACACACTATTGTTTAATTAGAATTATTTAGCTTAAGGCACTCATTGTGCAGTGATGTGGTTAGTGACAAGCAGTGCTCGCTACGCTACTGCAAGTCTGACTGCTTTCACTTCTGTAACAGCAGTGCAAAGCACTGAGTTATCTCTGCAAACTTTCCATAAAAGCTGATCATTCTCTGGTTCAAGTGTCAAATCTTTAGCCAAAACAAGACACAGACAACAGCCAGATGTGCATCGCCTTCCTATCAGATGCAGACACAGCCCTTTGCCTGAGCCCCAGGACCTTGGCTGAGGCAGGGGACTAGCTGAAGGACAGCTGGATGGAGCTGGACCTGGGAGAGATGGAGAGGAGGTTTATGGGAGAGGGAGAAGTTTGTTACTGCCCCAGTGTGCCTCATAAGGGAATTCTGCTTCAACACTGTCAGAGTTCATTAATATTAAATGGCACGTTTTTCTGATTTGTGATGATCGGATATGAGGTGCTACGGGATTGCAAAGTGATAACGTAATTATTGTGACATAACCTGCTGTAACCTACTGTGTGAATGTGGATTATTCTGAGGAATGGAATCACACTGAGCAGTCCTGCTTAGGTCTTACATGTCATGTACAAGACAGAGCACTACAAAGAAATATGTATTGCTGATGATTTCCACTTTCTATCTCTGCTTTATAGTCTTAATTAGAAGAATTAAGAACAAACTGAGACTGCTCGAGAAAGGAAATATCATGCAGTTAGTAGCTAGATTAACTGTTAGACAAATTTGTGGAGGATTAAAGCATTTTACTTCTTTATCATTATTTATCCTGCAGGAATTACAACTACCCACATAATTCTGGATCCTGGAATGCTCCCAATAATTTTTAATATATTATGCACTGTGATCCAGTCTTTGAGACACAATTTATCTAGAGAATGGTTGACCCGAATGTGTTTGCCAGAACTTCAGCTTATTTTTTATTTTAAGCTGGTTTACTTGGATTGAAAAAATCCAGTATTAGCCAAAATTTAGTTTTGTTAATTAAAAACACTGAAGGGAGCAATCTGTGGAAGAAAACTCTAATGCACCAAAAACAAATAATAAGAAAGTATGAAACAGCCACAGATACTCAGGAGATGAGAGGGAGCTCATGGATTCAGACAGGCCTCTCGGGAAACATGTGACAAAGCCTTGCTGTAGAGATACACCTTGCTGCAGGTTGATGTTTGTCCTCCTCTCTTCCAGGCATCCAACTTGAAATCAGACCAGCCCTGCCACATCTCTGCTACCTTCACAAGGATGAAGTTATACCCATGTGGATCTGGTATCAGGATCATAAAGTGAAGCTGTCCCTCTACTCAGAACAGGTACTGTCATATGCTGCATTAAAGACACAGTCAGTACTTAAGAAGTAATAATTGTTGCTGCCACCACCTATAAATGCTCTGGTGTTTATTCAATTAAGACAGTTAAGCAGATAAAATATTTCTAGCTTTCCAGTTCCATTTTCTGATTGCTTATAAAATACAGAACACAAAATAAGACTGTGGGAAACAAAGTGATTTAGGATTCATTTCTCTAGCACAACTGATTGTTTCTAACCTCAGGGACACAATTTGGCATTCTTGGCAAAAATAATTTCACACAATAATAGAGAATTATACATAGTGAATAAAAGTGAGGGGTGTGGAACATGTGTACATTTAGGTCTAAGACAAGGATACGACTGTAAAACAGAAACTGAGCAATATGGCTTTTGGTTATATAAAAAAACTAAGAGCTAAATACTATCTGTCCTGAGGAAGAACAGAGGACGCATTTCCCAGAGCATCTTCTGCTTCAGGAATTCTGCCAGACAGAGCAGATGAGTTTAACACAGGTTGAAGGAGTGAACATATATGAAGCATATGAACAATATAAACCTTCTACAGACCAGACTTACTACTGAACCACAGATGACATAGCTGGCCTGTGTTTGCTGTGCTATCAGCATATACAGACGAGTGAACTACTAAACACTTAGTGCATCCTGCTGTGATGCACAGGCTGGTCTATTCTACTAGCAAATTTTGGAATCCTTCCCTTGTTTTTGTATGAGATGAGGATTCAGGCATAAGCATATACCAACAGTTAGAAATATATATGTATGACTAAAGCAACAGGTGTTCTGCAATTATACAGCCATGGAATTTAAAGAAAATCCTGCAGATTTGTAGCGGATGGTGTCTAAGGAGCTGCTCTGAGGGTGCAGCTTGTAATATATGTAAAACTATTTAGCACCTTGACTAATGGACTAATGGGAAGCCTTTTTCCCTCCTCCATTGTCTCCCAGCAATTAATCTAGCCATTAACATTACTCACTCATTTTTGCTCCCTTAACTTTCTGCTCTTTTAGGAAGCTAAATTGTTTTAGAAAATCATTTTTCAGCTCAAGCAATGCTTTGGCAGTGCCCCCAGAACGAGTGCCCTCCTGCTGTCTTCAAAACGTTGCTGACTGCAAGAAGTACGGTAGTGAGACAAATATCAGCACTGCTAGACTATTTTCTTGCTCATGCCTTTATCCAAGCTGTCCATGAAACACAAGTATACAACTATTGGAATAGACAGTTTGATGGCTCCTGGATAACTTCTATTACAAGTAAAAGGCCAAATTCTGGTTATAATTATACTACCGAATGTCTGAAATACTCATTTGGAGTCCTGACCACATCATGTTGATTCAAAGCGCTCGGTTTTTGCAGATCTTTTTAAAGAAGTTAGGCCAGCAGCCACAGGTACAGCAGATGTTTCCTTGATTCAGAACACCCATTCCCTCTGGGGCACTCTGTGCTCTGCAGCAGCAATCTGGTTTTGCTCTCAGACTTTGATGTTATCAGTACCTAATCCCTGCCACACCAGTCTTTGGCTGCAGTCTCCCACGCTGCAGAATTAAAGCCACCTGACTGGGTGCTTTTGCAACATATGTGTCCTGGTAATATTTTACTGGCCTATATTTGTGTTGGGCATAAAGCAGCTTTGGACACTGCTCTCTGTACTGCATTTCTCACATTTGAACTAATGTAGCTTTGCAAGAACATTGTTTTAAGAGTGGGTTTTTTGGTAGTATTCAGTACAGCAAAGGTATGGAGACATTAAAAATGGAGTCTGAGTAGCCTGATGAGAGGACTGCAAAGTTTCCAGTATTCATAGCAGAAGATTGAACAGCACTGTGGTTCCTGTTTACTATAATCTGAAGTCAGGTGTCTCTTCTTTCTCAGTGACATTCCCTTAACCTCAAAGATTCCTTTGTGTTTACTCTCCTGTGTGTGACTTCCATCATCAGCTGTGTAGACTCCTGACTACTGTTACTGTACCACATGAGCCACAAATCCTGCCCTCAGTTGTATAGGAATACATCTGAAATAGCTTCCTGCTGGTGTCAGTGGGCTTCATCAGGGTTTGCACACCTAAAATCAAGGGCAAAATTTATTGCAGCAAGTCTGAACAAGAGACCTATCTCAGGGTCCACGGAAAGTTGCAGACTGCACATAAATAATCATCTCATTTGGACTGAATGGAAGAAAATAGAATGGTTCAGTTGGAAAATGCCTACAAAGACCATCGAGTCCAGCTGCCTGACCGCTTCACGGCTAACCAGAAGTTGAAGCACGTTATGAAGGGCATTATCCAAATGCCTCTTGCACACTGTGCCAACAACCACCTTGCAAGGAAGCCTGTCCTTAGTATCAATCTCACTACCTTGGCTAAAAGCACTGAGCATGCCTTTGCAAAATAAAAGCCTTGAAGTACTATTATTATGATAAAAAGATGCTAGCAGAATGCAAAAATCACTAATCAGAACTCAGGCATTGTGTCGTGCTTGTCTTTTTGCATATCAAGGCTGAACTAATATGGAATCAGTTTGTCAAACACTTAGACATTTTACATGTCCTGAGGTGACGCCGCTGCACGGCATTTCAGTTCCAGTAAGGGATCAGGAGGGTGAACCCCCTTCTCTTGCTTCTTTGAAAAATGAAGTTCTGCACAGCTCTAACAGTGCTATGACTTTCTGAAAAGCTCATTCTTTGGGGTGAAAGCACAAATACACCACATCTTTAGTTCATATAAAAAGCAGCATGACAGGCCCAGCGCATTTGCACTATGGTTTCAGGAAAGCAAATTTATCTAATAAAAAGTGTTCCTTCATTTCAGAAGATGTCCTGGCCAATTTTCAGGAGGATGAGTAATTTATTCCTTTTTGGTGCTGAAGCTTTCCTAATGCAGTTTTAACTCATGGCTCCCATGTGTTGTCTGCTTCAAAGTCCCTCTTCCCAGCATTATTTTCATCATGGAATTATCTTTTTTCCATGTTGCTTTCCTTTTATGACAAATAGGTACCATACATTTAGGGACTTCAGAGCACTTCAGGCTTCTGAGCAGCTTGAACTTCTTAAAAATTAACTAGAAGAGAACATCTGCTCACACACAGTGGTGAACAGTGCTGGCATCAATTCTTCTGTGAGATAAAAGAAATCTGGAAAACTGAAATGATTAAAAAATGCTAGTTTGCCACAGGAGATAGATGAATATTTCTACCATAGGTACATAGTGGCTTTTGGTAAAAGATACTGGAATGTAGCTCAAAGCTATTAAAAAAAAAAATTATTTAATAGTTTAAACTCTGAGTCTTTTAAGGCAATCTTAAATTACTGCCTGCATATACAATTCAGTTTTCAGCTGTAAACTTCTTTAAGTGTGATTCTTGGTTTTGCAGCCTGGACTTCTTTCTAACTACAGCAGATATTGAACTTCTCCTGCCCTGTTTTGAAGACATGGAATTTATATACAAAATAAAATAGGCTTGAGAAGAGAGAAAGGAAATTATTTTAACAGTGCTTGGGATTCCCATGAAAATATAAATCCTCTACTGTGCTTATATTCTCTTCTAGCTATTAATGGCATATTTAAAACAAACAACACAAACAACAACAAAAAAAAACAACTACACAACCCAACAGCACAAATCAAAACAAAGAAAAACCACTTTCAGTTAAAGTGAGCAAGTCTAACTCAATCTCCAGGTACCTGTTTCAAAGTCTATTAAACTGGATGCAGTCCTGAATAACCAGTGGTAAGACCTGCTCTGATTTATCCTTCCAGTAGATAGTGTATGAACTCGTGTTAAGGCATGATTTGATCCTGTCTGTATTCACTGCATTGTTTTATTTGGAGCTTTTGAGCTCAACTAGCTCACAGTATTGTTTTGTGGTGCCCATTTGCACACATGGTAAGCTGTGTATAAAACAGGAAGGTGAACCTCCAGTTTGGCTTGGATTTGTTTCCACAAGTGGATGTTTGTAGTGTTTAATCATTTGCCTTTATCTCATCAGCCAAAATTTGATTCCATTGATGACAACTGCAAACAGCATGATTTAAGTGGCAATGAAATTCACCCACATAAATTTAAGGTATATGAGAATGACAACTGAGCATGGTGGAAATAGTAACTGCCATTGTAAATAGTGCAGTCCTGTGTAACAGATCTTGTTTTACAAACATTCGCCCCCAAGCTCTATGCATTTTCTCTTCTATTTGTAAGGTGGACATAAGTTCTCGAAGAAAACACACAAAATATTTTCAATTGGAAGTTATTCTTGTAAGTGCAGCCCTTTTTCTGTCCCTTTAAACGCTTTCTCTTTCATTTCCTAACTGAAAAAAGGCCACTAAATATTCACTTTTTCTTATATTTGGAAAAAAAGTATAGAGTTAATTTCAATACTTCACATGGAAGAAAGAAAGGCAAAAGTCTGTGTTGATTCACTGCAATTATTTCCATTGAGATGCCCCAAAACCACATTCCTAGAACACGACACTGGTAGCTCTCATAGAAGCTGGGAATATTTCCTCTGGGAAATACTCTATTTTCTGAACGATCCTCAGTGAGGTATTTTTTCCCATATATCTCAGTTCTCCAGCTGTAGGAAAGGAAGATGCCTCTTCCCTACCTCACAGAAGCAATCGCATACATTAAAATTCATAAGGCACCAGGTGTTTTGAAGCTTTAAAGAGAACAAGATGATGATCCTTAGCCTGAGGATTTGTATCTTTAAATATGGATGAAAATAGGATTTCATGAGCTCATACCAGAAATCTTAACTATAATTAAGGCACATTTGTATATCTGTCTCAGCTCAGTAGTAAAGTGGCAGCTAGAGAGAACTAGAGAGAGAACTTTAGAAGGGAGTTCTTTTAGACAGTTCTTTAGAACTGCACCTCCTGCAAAGCTTCAGACTGAAAATGACCATCTGAATTCTTTGTGCTCAGCCAAGATCCTTGCACAATGCCAAGGAAGAGGGGCACAGGCATGAAAGCAAACTAGCTGGTTGAAGGGTATCTTCCAGAAATGGAAAATGTGTTTGATTTAAAGCTAGATCAGAGTAAAACAATAACTCAGATACTTAAGTCCACAACAGCACTAAAGATTTTCATTGCAAAGGCTAAAACTGTGTATATTATGCTGCATTTAGTGGCCTTTCTAAGCTGAATTCAGGAGAATGTCAGCAGGGGCAGATTCACATCCACAGATCACATCCCCCATCTCTGGGAGTTCACTTTTGAATGGAACCTTTTCAAATACTTCTGTTGAGACTTAAAATGGCTGACTTGTGGGTACATTTTCTGAGGCAGTAAATTCAATATGTCAATCAGATTACATATGTCCTGGATGATGTGAGGTTTAGAGCCATTTCAGAATCATGTGGTAGTGTCCTCATTGTGTCACATACACTGGAGGTTTTGTTACTGTTTTTTAACATAACAAATACGTGGGGGAAGCATCACCTGCAAAATAATACTGTATACATGCTACATTATGCTATCACCAGATTCCTCCATATACCATCAGTACTCTAGAAATGTGAACACTGATTAATGTTATAGGTGTTTAGAATGATGATGAAGCTCTGCAGTAGTTCTTTGCCTTATTTATGATTAAACCCATTCCTAAAAGTAGAATCCTCACCGAAAAATTCCAGAAATTCAATTTCTAGCAACATCCTTCCTCTGTTTCCAGCAACATCCTTCCTCTCTGCCAAAAACTCCAAACCTGACAATGTCATATATAACATCACAAGAAATAATAATACATGTCATCATTTCAAAGTGGCTTCATATCTGAAATAAATGAGGGCGAATATGTGTATCACCATGCCAAGATTCATGCACTCCACTTGTACACTTAGCATTCTTTTTTTTTTTTGAAGAATACCAGATGCTTCCTGTGCAAACTTCTGTGCACATGTGCAACTGATACATCGAGAGGAAATGAATGAATTGAGAAGATAAGCCAATCTGGGCCTGAAAAGATGGTCTCCAGCTGTGAATGGAAGTGATTTATCGCTGAGCTGAAGGATCAGCTTTTCCAGCTCAAACCAGCAGATACATCATTACATTTAATCCAGACTTCCACACAGATATTTAGGAGTCTTGCAATTGACTTCAGCAGAGCCAGGATTTCACCCGTAATGTTTATCTAGGCTGAAAGCCCACTCCCCACAGTTGTGTTATTATTTATTTATTTAGTGAATGTGGTTATTTCTGTAGTGGAAGAATAAAAACCATCAGTATAGACTCAGGGTAGAAAGACAGTGCAGCTGTGGATGGTTTTTAGCATAGCAAAAAGGGAGTGAGCGGCTCATAGTCCTGTCATAGTTGATGTCTGTGCAAAACTGTGAAGACTTTAAGGTTTAAGACCTTGTCCTCAGGCCACAGCTCCTCCTCAGGCATTTATGTACAAAACACTGTCTCCAGAAACCAGGAAGAATGAATGTAGTTACCGGATTAAGTCCAGCAGTGCATCTGCAGAGCTCATGATGGGCTTTCCACCCTCCTCAGTGCTCTCCTTCTGTGCGGCCCCACCAGGATGAATGATGGAGACCATAATTATTCCCACAATCACAGCCACAAATGTTGTCCACAGGTAATAAGTGACGGTTATGATACCCAATCGACTGGAAGTCTTGGCATCCAGGGCTGCTAGCCCAGACATTAAGCTGTGAAAAGAAAACACAAAATACATGGCACCTTATGCATAACATCAATGCAACAGAAAGCCTAATTTCCTATTATTCCATTTGCATCTTACGAGATCACCTTCATATCAGTGCTTTCAGAAGCTTGCAGTAATACAAAGCTGTAGCCTGCGCATCTTACAAGATGTTTCCTTTGTGCCATATCAGATCCTGGTTTCCTGAAGGAACTTGCAAGCTCAGGCTGCACACATGGCAACCAAATCCTACTGACTGCTCCCTGAAGATTGAGGGACAGTTTTACACAACCTTATGTTTGATGGCCCAGTTCACAGGAGTCATAGCAATAATCAGCCAGGCAAACTTAGGCATGAAAGCCTACACATAACTTCACAGAACTGTAGAATAAGTGATTGGAAGGGACCTGTGAAAGAAATCTGATCAGCCCTTTCATTCCTTCCCATGTGAAGAAAGACCATAACTTCAAAGTTAAAAATACTTACGGGCAAGTTTGACATACGGTGCATTTTTCACCTAAAAGAACAACAAAAACCCTTTTCCTTTTTTCTAAACCCATACACACCACAATAGATTTTTGCTTCAGTAGGGGTCGTGCTGGGGAACAGACAGGCTCTGTAACTGCACTGTAAGCAGACGAGACTCCTTTGTGAGCCAGTAAAGCATCTCAAGAAAATGCTGTGGTGATCTCAACCTCTTATTTCCCCTTTGGCTCTTCCCACAACTGCCAGAAGATGGTCAGAGGCCTCACAAAGCTTGTCTCTGCCATGCTATGTAACTATCTGCCATGTAGTTTCACCCCCACTAACCCTATTTTACAGGCAAATTAAGGCTCTGCTTGATGCCTGAACTTGCCCTTGCTGCTCTAGCATAGACCCTGCTACTGCTTCCCAGTAATCAGAGACTGAGATGTGAGTTTCCAATCACACCTGTGTTGCCTGGGGCTTTACATTAAGATTTAGCTTTGAATAATCTGATGTAAACTCTTCTAAACATGCATCTCTGGAAAACTAAAGTTGAAATAAAATATTACATTTACTATTTGATGTGACCCCGCTGCCCAGATTTATCATAAAGGCAGAACAGATTATCAAGCTTTTCCTGATAAATAGTGATGTACTAAGCTGCATCTCCTTGAATGAGACCTTCTTGACCTCACTCTACTCATTGAGGTTGTCTAGAGCCAATACTAAAGTGCAGCTTACCCTTTATAGTACATTTAATGAAATCAAATGGATGGGGTTTAGTGCTCAGGTTCCTGCTCTCCACTAGATTAATTAAGAAAATGCATTGCTTTTCTGCATCGCCACAGTTTTTGTTAATGCTACAGGAGCAAGGGAAAATGCTGCCTGCACTGTGATACGATCATTTAGAAAATGACCATCTTGATCTCTCTCATTTTTGTAGCCATTTTCTTCCTTCTCTTTGAACATTTTGATAAAAATTCCACCATTCTTTTTGCCTGTGAAGCTCTGTTTACAAACACAACACTACATACTAAAAATGAAAAACAGTAGCAGCAATGATACTTCCTTGGAAGACTCGATATTCCAAAGCACTGATTTCAATGTTGTACGTGTCTCAGAATAAACTAGCTGGATGTTTTCCCCAGTAATTATTTTAAGTGTCCATCATAGGTATATTATGCAAGGAAACTAACACAAGTGGTACGAAAGCCTTGACTGGGCAGATCTGCAACTATTGGGTAGGATGCCACGTAGAGAGGGGAGAAGGAGTACAGGTTTTTTTTCTGGTGCTGTCCTGAAGCCATTATCTCTGTGGGAAAGACAGTCCTTGATGTCACCTGTGTTGTGTTTGCTCTGCAGAGCAGTGGGAGATAACTGCTGCACACGGTGCTTGAACCGTCATGGCTATTCACCTGGGAAGCGTGTCCAGGAGAACTGAAGGCAGAACCTCCTAATTAAGCACTTCAGTGGGTCATGTGCATTTGGGGGTGCCACCTCAGCTAGATCTGGAGAATGATGTGCAGCTAGAATCTAATCAGACATTGGCTCGTAGGTGGCAAATCCTGAGGGGGCTAATAATGAGATTGCTCTGTCTTGGGGATATTCATTAACAAGATCATCATCTGTAATGAGATTATCCTGTCACCAGATAAAGTCATGCTTGCTTCATGCTGTGATGAGAAAGTTCTCAAAAGTAATTAACTATGGAGATGCAACAGGAGAAACTGTGGTGCGATGAAGCTTGAATCAAAGTCTGGGTTCAAATAAAGCTGCGTGTTATTCATGGCCTGCAAAGTTCAGTTTGAAGAAGGAACCAGTGGAAGCAGTTTTAGGAAGGCTGTATCCAGGATCCAGGAGCATCAGTGAACATTTTAAGCAATTGCTCAGACTAATTTTCAGGAAGAAATGTCTGTAAATAGTCAGAGACTGTAGTCACTCATTAAGCTTTTCATTTGACTTCATACATTTGATGTCAGAAGAAACAGAACAGAAGGCACCAAGATGAGCAGACATCACAGTTATTGTATGGAATAAGGAATTCAGAAGGAGTAGCTTCCTACGATCACTGGTCATGTTCAGGTTTTACCTTTAAAACTAATGTTCATTAGACACTCTTGGCTATATTGCTACCCTTGCCAACAGCAGCCCAAGCATCTTCTATGACTGAACAAAGATGTTTCTGTGCCCTTCAGAACCAGACTCTTAAGAAACACAAATGAATGAAAACCAGGATACTTTAAATTCTTATAAATCCTGAGAATCTGATTAGGCTTGGAATAGCAGGGCAGATTTTTGATTTATAGGTTAAAATCACCTGACTTCCCATGTATTTAAGTAGCTTCTACAAATACGCTTCATGCATAGCTTCCGTAATATGATTGCCAAGTAGACAAGAAAGGAATAACACAATGAAAACCAACCTGCAGCTTTTCTGAGTAATTACGATATTTCTCACTCATTTATTCAGTCTGGCCAAAATCAAAACAAGAAAAAAAGTTCTTACAATTTCATATTTAGGGACCATTTCTTAGTTTGTATTGAAAAACATACAATGTCAAGTTTAAGGCCTCCAAAATACATTTGAATTAGTTTTGGATGAAATATTAAACCTCGTAGAGCAGGATGTAAATGAAATCTGATTTCTATGATTTAAAAGGTTTTCTTGCACCTTGCTTTGAAACATCTGGTACTGGATGTAATAACAGGCATCAAAACAAACGAAGCAGCCCCACGACCTCTTTATTTCCTGCGTAGGTTGTTCCAGCCACATGTGAAAACGATCCTTCTGTGTTGTTCTTTTTTCTGCTGACTAGAAGAGCCTGCTGTTTTATTCTGTGATCTTGTTCGTCCAGCAGATCCTGGATGAAATTGTGTATGCTCAGAGATTATGCACAATTTAGAACAATAACCTCCAGATTTGTTCTATGTCCTATACATCTGTGTACATATCTGCCCTATGGTCCTTGGATTTCTGTGGCTTTCAAGCCTCTTCAAAGTTGTGTTTAATAACCTTCAGATCTCTTTGTGATATAAAACTGATGCTTCATGGTATTTGCAGGAAGAGATTCTTCTTTAAATTTTATACTTCTTTTCTTAGCAAGTAAAAAATGTCCAGTTTGTTTTGCTTATTTATTTACTTATTTATTTATTTAACTAAGACTTGGGCAATTCTAAATCTACTCTGCTTTGTTTTCAGTAAATAAGTTGTTTCCATTCAGCCAAATCTGTCTAATCTCCTCTACTTTCATTTTTATTGGAGAAAGAGTCAGGAAGGCAATGAATAAGATGGTAGCAGTTTGTTCAGAAGCTGGATGTTGAAAACCATTTAAAAAATTTATTTACTTGCAGCATTTTAGTGGGGTTGATATTTAAGGCTTAATTATTTCTTTAAGACTTCAATTGTTTAATTGTTTGCTGTCAGTAAAAAAGCTCAAATAAACAACAAAACTAGAATGGCTTGATTAATTTTTTTTTATTTTGAGGGAAAAGTCTCCATATGATTTATGAAATGTTACAATAAATCACGTCTTTATTGGATCTTTGTTGAGGGAGAACAGTGAGGAGGATCAGTGGAAGATCCAGTGAAACTTAGATGAAGCTCTTAGAGGGAAGCTCGAAGGGAAAAGGAAGATGTCTGTATCTCCAGAAATTATTTTAAATGTGACTAAATAAAAACACAAGGTCAGTTACTATATTGTTTTAAACACTGGTAACAGTACAAGCAAATGGAACTATTAAATACTATGTTTCATGTCTGCTTGGAGAGAAATCTGTGTAAAACACCAAAAATTATTCTAACAGGCTTTAAATAATGAGGAAGGGAATTCTTTCAATATCTTGGAAATCTAATTAGCCCCTGCAAACAATTAGCTAAACTCTTGTGAGCATCTCTAGGCTTTTTCTGGTCGTCACTGATAAGCATCAGAGTATTTATGAAGTATTTTATTTACGTACAAAAACAAAACTTTCTATTCTCTCTGCCATTCTCTTCTTTTTTTATCTGTTGCCTTCTGATAAAAAGCAATTTTTTTACTTCCATCAAGACCAAAACCTGTCCCCAGAAATGGGAAATACAAGGAGCTGCAGTAAAGACTCCATTCTGCTTGTTTATTTTGTCTTCCTCGCCACCAGAAGCCATCTGGATGTTGCTTTGAAATAGATGGATTATGGATGAAGTTATCAGAAAGGATTAGTGTGATTAGAAAGACATTAATCCTGTCAAGAAGTAATGGTCAAGTATTAAACACAAGCAGTTGGTCCTACAATCATGTTTGTTTTCATTCATCCCATTCCCACTCTCCCATTCTCATTTTCTAATTGCATGCCATAGAAAAGACCTGGCTAAGCAATTTCTGCCAGTGAGGCTGGGAAGCTCCTCTAACAGCTACATTAGAGGGGATTATATTACAGTCAAGCATCATGAAAGTGAAGTGCAGGCTCCACTAATGCTGCTCCACTGGGCAGGCAGGCTGTCTTGTAGCTTTATGTCAAGGGCAGTGCCTTTAACTTTCAACATGGTAATAATCTCCATTTCCACTG